AAAAGAGAGCCCGAGAGAGAATCGCCTTGTGTTTCATGCTGCGCTCTCTCACAAAACGCAAGACGACATGAGTTGATAAGCCAAATATCAAATACAAAAAAGTTTTATATTTTTATGCACTTTCGAAAAATGAAAAACAAAAATGTTTTGCTTTTTAACATAATCCTCCTTCCTTTCACAATCAGTACGTATGAACGTATGAGCCACAAGCAAGGCGCGAACACCAACTTTAACACTTCAAAGAATAAAATAATCATAACCTTAACACTAACATGTATTAAACTAAGCTCGTTTGTGTGTGCAAATGTGGGTTACTCTGTTATAGTACTCGCTATTACTGTAGGTTTTGTTATCAGGAACTGTGATGAAATCGTAGACCTTCTTAAAACTTGTGATTGTAGCCACATAATTAAATTGCCGTAATATTTCTAATGAATAAGCCCTGATTCTTATAATCAAAAGAAAACCACTGTCAACAAACACAATCTGAGATTCAAATCAAGTAAGCAGCCACCTTGAAAAATTCTTGGAACAATTTCACAAATGGTGCTGACTATAATAGTAATAATAATAAATAATTGAATCGCTAAACTCCATTAAAAAAAGATAAATAACATGAAAGACAGCAAAAATGAATAGTTTAAAGGTACATCATTTAATTATTAATACGCATGGCGAGAAACATTTCAAGTAGGTGTAAAAACAATTATTTACAACCAAATCAACAAACGCGTTTGTAAAAGGATTTGTCTCAACGCAAATAACTAAATTCTTTGTTTAACGTAAGTGTGCAATATTAAATGCTTAGCTCAACTATGATAAACAGCTTTAACACGATTTCAAATACCAGAATAATGTCAACTAATGATACTTTATACACAAAATTCAGTTGTTGCCGCTTTATTTATTTTTGTTTGGACATTTATTTATCTTCCAATCGATAAACACGCTTATCAGGAAAACGGCAAAAACCGATTTGTCGAACGTCCTTGAAATGTGATCAAATTGTGTCCAAAATTGTGCTTATGAATAGCAAGTTGAATGTAAACAATGGACTGCTAATAGACAATCTTAATAAGCGTCTAATAGCGTGGAAAATCGATTCAGCATTTAAATCACATTTAATGAGCTTTAGTCACGCATTGACAAACAAAAAAAAGTGGCCTGACAACCAACAAATAGCAAACATAAACTATAAATAAATCAAAAAGCTGCCAATGAATAGTAAAAGTGCTAAAATACCATGATATGTGGAATATCTATCCAGAGCGTAAGAGTCGCAAAGCTGAATTTATAGAAATCTTTGCGCAAATGTATTTAAGATGTGATTCACGCTTTTCGAAAAATTCACCTATATTTAGTGGAAAATGGCAATAAAAATGTATACAAACCATCCTGGGTAAAAATAGGGTTGAAATTTTGCAAGTTTTTACCAAACGGTTTTCAAAGACCTTCATACACAATTAACTAAATAAATTCCACATGCAAAAAACGGAAAATTGATGGAAAACTATTGTAAAAAATGTTGAGAATTTAAGCATAAAATATTTTAAGTTTGTTATATCAAAATTCGATGGTTCTAATTAAACAAAACGTATATGCCCATTTTCCTATAACTATGGGGAAGAGGATGACAAAAATAGACATTCGACAATTGCAGACCCGGCTATGACTGCAGCTGTTGCATCGCGTGCCAACAATTTATTAAGACTTTATTGCGCTGTGTATGTTTTGCGTTTTCATCTATTGTTTAAATAAATTACGAGTTTGTGCCAAGTGCAAGGCATCGAACCCTTAAGCTTTTAAAAACGCATACAATTCGCGTCGGAGTTTATGTTTTTATTATTGTTTATAATTTATGCAGTGATGTGGCTTATTAGCCCAGTCTGTTGCCTTGTTTGTTGTTGTAGCTGTCGTATTTGTTGTTGTTGTTGTTGTTGTGGTTGTGGTTGCAAGCAGGCAAACAGAGCCCGCTTTATTCATTCAATTTGCTGGCACGTTTTGCATTACACGCGACAACCCTGACCTACAAAATACATAAATAAATAAAAAAAAAAAAACGCGGCTGCCTCTGCTCCAAGTTGTGTTGTTATTATCATTGTTGTTTTTATTGTTGTTGTAGCTACTTTGCATTGAGAACGATTTGTGTTGGGCACCGGCGCTTAGCCGCGTGTACATTGAATTTTATAAATAAATTAACGGGTTAATGCATTAAACACTCGTGTAGGCGTCGCCCGACCAATCAACGAGGGGTGTTCCAAATTCAAATTCAAATCCAACAAAAAATTGCAATTTCTGTCATAAATCGTTTTTAAGCTTAAACAAGTGCTAAACCTGCATCTGATATTTCATAGTTTTATAGTCAACGTAATAGCAAAAGAATGCACAAGCTAGAAGGGATACCCCGAACCCAGCGCTAGGCTGATTTTGGCAAGGCTTGCTGGAGTCTTTGGGATAGTTTTCAGGTTGTTCAATCTATACAAACACTTTACCCCAAAACATCGTAAGGAAGATTGGTTGCACAATCGTTTGGCGCGGTTAAGTCGAAATCTGCGACATGAACGCACCGAACTTTGACTTAAACCGCAGTAAAACTGCAGACCTGTTTGTCTCAGTGCAGAAAAATGCATAGGACTTCAATATTTACACTTCTATTGCTAAGCCTAGGTACAAAAAGAACAAATTAGAGGCTCTACTCGGGAATCCCCGACTAAGGAATACCCTTCAGCCTTCTTCGAATAATAGCTATCAAAAAGAAAATACTTAGTATGTCTGTTTATACCATTCAAGAAGCTACATGTCAAGTTTGGTGACTCTTGCTCTTATAACTTATGTACAAGATTCGCTTAAATAACGGATTTTCAATATCGATTTTTATCGATAACATGGAATTAGGGACTATCGAAAACAAACTCGTACTGCGCGGTTCTTATGGGTTCTGAGTTCCTTGCGTTCATACATGCGGACATGACTAGATCGACTTGGCTGTTTATGTTGATCAAGAATATACTTTATGGGGTCGGAGATGCTTCCTTCTGCCCGTAACATACATTTGCACAAATACCATATGATCCTTTTACCCTCTTTAATGGGTTCAGGGTACAAAAAGCAAAACGCTTTACCAGTTCTCTTATGGGAAACTGGCATTTAAAAGATTAGTGAAAATTACTCAGCGCAATACAGTCCGATCTTTATTTGTGTGAGTGTATATGCCAAATCGCAAGGTTCTATTACCATGAGTTTTTTTTTGTCAACTTCGAGGGGAATGAAAGATATTCAGGCGGATATGCTTCTTAATCGGGTTTTATCGATATTGTAAGATCGAAAAAAAATTGCTATTTATTTCAAATTGCAAATCTCTAGCTTTTATAGTTTCTGAGATCGACGATCACTGAGATAAGCAGGCAAGAATAAATACATCAGATGAGGTCAAAAATGATTCTTGTGCTTTGTGATATTTATGTGCCCTGCTCAGGAGGTCCTTAGTACAGGTGCCTCATGTGAAAGTGGCTAATTGGCAATCGTGTTACCTGATCTCTACAAAGTATTATAAAAAGAGGTGTCTGTTGAGATTTCAAATAAAATCTGCAGGCGAGAATGTCTTGCAGATATTGAATACATGTAACGTTGCTCGATCTCGTTGTTTTATAAAGCTTGCCTAATAAAGCATTAACTAATAATAATAGGTTTTGATAAGCTCAAGAAGGTGTTAATAAGCAGTACACATTCAGATTAGGGCTTGCTGTGTAATTTGTGCTAAGAGTTCAATAACTTGATAATGTATGTGAACTTTATGGCTATAAGCCCGTTTGTTAGGGTTTAGTTATTGATATTTGTGTATAAAATATTTAGAAAATTCAAACAAATTGTCGTGACATTAATTTATTATTAAACTTTTTCGCAATTCATTTATGATTAATAAAGAGTAAAATAAAAACGACAACACTTGACAGGTGGTTTTTTGCCTAGTTTAAACTTTATTTGCATGTTAATATCAGCGATTTAATTGCCTTTCATTGTTTACATTGTTCAGCTTAATTGCGGCTTTAATTGGCCATAATGGCACGCGGCTAAGTCCAATGTGGCGACCTTAGACCGGCTAAATGAAGGCGAAGTGAAAATTGAAGAGAGCAGATAAAAAGCGAGCTGAAAGCGGATGTCAATACACATTCGCCAACAAAAAGATACAAATTTATCTTAACGGCAACATGAGCGTTTTTTACGTTTATTTTATATATAGATAAACGTTTTTTTGTGTTGCCCTTTTCGTGTCTTGGCCTTTACCTTTTTCACGCACTGCTTTCTCATACTTTGGGGTCACATTTACATTTACAAAATGTTGCAACGCTCGCGACACTTTCTCTTTTTGGGTTTTTACTTAACATAAATCGCATCAAAACAAAGGCATGGCTAACAAAATATAAATAAAATCGTATTGCCAAAATGAGCGAGCGCTTTAATTGCATCGGCTGGCATAAATTAGCGCCAGTTGGCCGTCATTCCAATCAAATTTTGCGTCTCTCTATGGAAAATTTGATACCTCATAAGGTAGACATAGAAATTCACCACGGTTTAAGACAAACAAAAAAAAATGAAAGGAGAGAGAGAGATTCTCTGCCCTGTTGTTAAGTACTTTTGGCTTTGCATCACAACAGTTTTGGCGTTCAGTTGCTGTTGCTTGTTTTCACAGTTGTTGCTGCCTCTGCTGTTTGCTACAACAGCAAGAACAATAGCATAACATACAGCAACACTGACAGCTCAAAGCAGCTGCGCCGCGCAGCATTTTCAGAGCAGCGAGAGCAATTTATTTTTAGCAGCAGCAGCGAGAGCAACACAACGAGAGCGCTCTTCAAAACCACAGAGACGGCGATAGCGATACAGAGAGAAAAAGAGTGAGAGCGAGAGTGTGCGCGCAAAGTGCACGTATGCAGGCCGCTGATGCTGAGCAAATTAAATGAAATGCTAATTACAATAGGTAAGGGGATTTTTTGAATGCTCACCTGGTCGATCCAATGACTGTCTGCGACTCATTGGCAAAAATTTTTGAGCCTTGTTTAATGCTTCGGGACAGACAATTGATGTTTAAAATTGAACTGAAAATTGTATTGCTTCATTTGTGTTGCTGCTCGTTGTCTTCTTCTTCCTCTTCTCCTTGTTGCTTTACCGTTGCTATTGCTTTTAACTTTCTTTGCTTATGCTGCTGCTTATTCAATTCTATACACTAAAAACACATACGCACACACACAGACACAGACAAATACACATTTTACTGCATAGATTGCATTGACTGTTGACCATACTTTCTTTTCACATAGAATTTGCGCGCAACGAGACACGCGGACTAAATTGATGTAAATAAATATATATATATATATATATCTGTATAACTTTGTTTTATTTATGTATGTACATATGTACGCAGATTGACGCTGGGGCGCCAGCGGCATAAGCACTCGCAATTTGGTATGTGGTGTTTTGATTGTTGTTGTTCTTGTTGCTGCTGACTTTTGTTATGTATTTTATTTATTTGAAAACAACTCGCAACACCCGCATACACCAGCGCATATAAACACATATATTCACATACACACACACACACTCACACTCGCGCGTCACGTCAATGAACGCAGCAGCTCGTTGTTGTTGGCTTTGATGTCGTCGTCGTCGTCGCCGTAGTAATCACGAAATAACGCTTTTTACGCATATTTCTCAATGAATTTAAGCACTTGTCACTGCATGCGCATTTAATAGATGTTTATTTACACTTGTGCAATATTTTTGTAAATTTAAAACACCGATATTTTGCGTTTATTTTTTTCAATTTTATTTGTTACGCACGCACGAGCGTTTACACGAGCCATATGACGAGACCCGCCGACGAACAAAGGGAAAATGCTGAATGTGAAAAATGTCAAACATTTGAGAGCGAACAGACTTAAAGTCTGCGACGTGTGAGTCGCATACGAGTAGGCGGGATGGCTGGATGTTCTTGCTCTGCTGCGAACTACTGTCGTCTCACTCACGCGCCCTTTTTTGTGGTAGAGAAGAAAAAAACCAAAACGAAACGAGAGATTTACGAAATTCACAAAACACGCTACCAATATTTTGTTGCTTATGTAGAGTCTTTATGCCGCTGACACTCTTCATTGCACTTTGTTATTAGCAATTGCAGGCTCTCTTAAATGTTGTCTTAGCACTATTTTTGACATTCTCGTTGCAATAATTTCCCGCACTTTTCCACACTCGCAGTGCAGCACTTGGCACTTAAAATACACTTTTTATCTGTGTGTGCGTGCAAGCATTTTGCAGCTGCTCCATCTGACATTCACAATGTGACGTTGCCAGACTGGCGACATGTTACCATACTGCAACTGGCTTTTTCGATAAATAATTTATTGCACTGTCACAATAAAAAATCGCTTGATAAATCCAGATTATCTGACGTCAAAAGTCGCGCACAAAATGTAGCTCTCAGTGTTTATTGACAAGAAAAGCAATACTTGCATGAACAACTAATATTTAAACAAACAATCGAGTATGTTCAATAACAGCTGTACGCTGTTATGGTCATGTTATAGCTCCTGCTATCAACTGTTATCGCACTCTCACAATAACAAATCGGTTGAAAATTACTATCGGCCGCATATAGGCGGAGAATTAGCGTTTCTTTTGATCACAATATTTTTTTTTTGATTTGGTTCCATAATTAGGCGAGAAGGTGAAGTTGAGCGTAGCCAAGAACAAAGGGACTGCGATCAAAACACCATGCTGCGGGCGATAGGCAAACGGGACAGGGACATATTCGACGAGGTATGGCCAGAGAAAAGAAAAATTGTTCTCAAGCTGCTGCGCCAGGAGACGGTATCGCAGCTCGAATGGCAGGATCTCTTCTTTGGCGTACACTTCGTGTGCCTGTGGGACGAGAAGGGAGCCTCCAAAATCTATGACGGCCTCCAGCAGGACATTGTCGAATTCATTGTGCAGGCTCAGTCCAAGGTACAGGCGCAGCGGGGCGAACAGGCGCTATTGGCCACCTACATTGTGGAATGGCGTAAATTCTTCACACAGTCCAATTACCTGCCGCTGCCATTTCGTCAGTTGGAACAGTCGCCACAGGTAAAACCCGCGTCCAGTTCCAGCTCCACATCGTCATCAACCTCCGCTGGCGGTGGCGCATCCACCTCGAATGCCGCTGCCTCCACCAGCAATCAAGCATCCTTAAGCAGTTCCTCCGCAAAGGCCTCAACATCGGCAGCGGCGTCTAATGCTGCTTCCACTAGCGTTGGCGCCGCTAGCAATTCCGCCACAGCTGCTGCCTCAAGCTCCAAGAAGAGTCCCACCGAGGACAGTCCGGTTCGCAAGCTAATGCTCGATTCGTGGAACAAGCACATTTTTCACGACATCAAGGATCGCCTGCAAGAGTCAGCCATGAAGATTGTCCATGCCGAACGCAATGGCGACGCCTACGATGCCCAACTGGTGGTCGGGGTGCGTGAAAGCTATGTTAATCTGTCCTCGAATGCAGAGGACAAGTTGGAAATCTATCGGGAGTATTTTGAGAAGGCCTATTTGAAGGCCACCGCGGACTTCTATCGGCTTAAATCCGCCGAGCAGCAGCAAGAGAATGGCGTGCTGGCCTACATGAAATACGCGGACGCCAAGCTGCGCGAGGAGGAGGTGCGCGCCAAGCGTTACCTGGAACCTAGCAGCTTCAACATACTTACATGCCGTCTGGTCAAGGTGCTAATTGTGGATCACCTCAATTCGATCATAGCCGAGTGCCCGGCGCTGATACGTGATTACGAGACGGAGCGTTTAAATCTAATGTTTCGCCTAATGGATCGCGTGCTGGACGGGGAGGGCGTCGAGGCAATGATGGGCGATCTGCAGCGGCATATCAAGTCCGCCGGCCTAGCTGACATGCAGTCCGCCTCGGAGATCATTACTCAGGACTCGGAAAAGTACGTGGAACGACTGCTGGAGCTCTTCAATAAGTTTAGCGATCTGGTGCGCAATGCGTTCAACGATGATCCGCGCTTTCTCACTGCCCGCGACATTGCCTTCAAGATGGTGGTCAACGACACCAGTGTGTTCAAAATGGAGCTGCCCACAAGCATTGCCAATCGAGGCGTCAAATACACAGCGCCGGAAAGCAAATGCCCTGAGCTGCTGGCCAACTACTGTGACATGCTGCTCAGGCGCACGCCTCTGAGCAAACGCCTCACCAGCGAGCAGATCGATGCACGTCTACGGGATGTGCTGCTCGTCCTAAAGTATGTGAACAACAAGGATGTCTTTATGCGCTACCACAAGGTGCACTTGACGAGACGGTAAGTGCTAAAAAAATATCCTTGGAGCACTGCAGCCAAAGCTAGATTAGAGCAGAAATAGGCTAGACATGATATCCAAGACCAAGCAGTCATCATTTAAACAAAGTGAAAAAACTCTGGCACGAAATGGGAAACGAATTCGTCTATTTGTTTCTTTGCAGAAATTTCACATTTTAAAGTCATCTTTATAAAAACTTGGCACAGTCCTGTATTTTTCCTGCAGGCAGATCAGACTTCTATGTCTATACTAATATATACATACATGTACAGACTTAATATATGATATATATATATAATATGCTGACATAGAACGATCTGCTGAACTTTTAATTATTGAATGACAATCGCTTCTAATCGAACCCAAACTAATTATTCTTTCTCGAAAATAAATTGGATAGAATACAGTCAGTTAGGACAAAGAGTTTTAAGATATCATCTATGTAATCCATTCCCTATGATCTGGGTGTGGGCTTATCCAGATTTACAACTAATTTTACTGGTTTGTAGTTTAATCCTTGGCACAAGTGCCGATAGTGAAAAGGAGGAGGACATTGTTGAATGGTTGCGCGAGGTGGGCATGCCCGCAGACTATGTCAACAGGCTGGCACGCATGTTCCAGGACATTAAGGTAAGTTTCAACCAATATATAATACGCCCAGCTGTTTTATTAAAAATACCTATTCCGTGCGTCCGCAACAAAAACAGGTGAGCGAGGATTTAAATACTCAATTCCGTAACTCTATAAGCCGGCATGATGCCATCAATATAAAAATACTCAATGCTGGCGCCTGGGCGCGCTGTTCGGAGCGTGTCTCAGTTTCGCTGCCCATCGAACTAGAGGACTATATACCCGATGTTGAGGAGTTTTACAAGAAAAAGCATTCCGGCCGTAAGCTGCAATGGTATCATCACATGAGCAATGGCACCATCACATTCGTTAACAATTTCGGTCGCTACGATCTCGATGTGACTACATTTCAAATGGCTGTGCTCTTTGCCTGGAATCAGCGGCAGCACGACAAGATCTCCTATGAGAATCTACGTCTAGCCACCGAGCTGCCCGGTTAGTAAAGAATTGCAACTATACTGCGGAAAACGACTTAAACTTCATTATTTTATTTTTCAACAGATCCCGAACTGCGACGCACTTTATGGTCGCTGGTCGCCTTTCCTAAGATCAAAAAACAAATCTTGCTTATGGAGCCAGCAGCCATTAGTTCGCCCAAAGATTTTGCCGAGAACACCATGTTCTATATCAATCAGGAGTTTGCCATTGTCAAGAATGGCAAATCTCAACGGCGCGGCAAGGTATGTTATATATGTCAAAACCATCTGCTCTAGATGTTACTAAAGCATTGATGTTTACGGTCGCAGTTAAATCTAATTGGACGGCTACAATTGAGCACGGAACGTTCGCAGCAGGAGGATAATCAGTCTATTGTGCAGCTGCGCATATTGCGCACCCAGGAGGCAATAATTAAGATTATGAAGGTGCGCAAACGCATGAACAATGCGGCGCTGCAGGTGTGTTAAGATTTATAAGAAAATCATTTGCTCAACTTAATTATTAAACCGTCTTAAATGCTTGCAGGCGGAGCTGATTGACATACTGAAGAACATGTTCCTGCCATCCAAGAAGATGATTAAGGAGCAGCTTGAATGGCTCATTGAGCACAAGTATATGAGACGCGACGACGATGACATCAACATGTTTATTTATGTGGCCTAACTGTGATGGCCTTTGCGTCCTTGCCGACTAACCATTCCCACTCCTGACCCACAACCTAGCCACAGCCAGCCTCCAATCCTTACACTTATGATCATCATTTCTCAATTAGTTGCGTGCTCAAAGCGCGCTCTCTCTCTCTCTCTCTCTCTCTCTTATACATATATATATCTCAGTCACCCATTTTTATGGGATCCTAGTTTGTTATGTTGACATTACGTCCTGGGCAGCGTTTTTGAAATTGAAAAAATTGCTTTTCTCCTATTTGTATGTTTTTGTTTTGTGTAAACGCGTAATTATTTTTTATATTCGCCTATTGGCAGCTCTGTTTAACGTCTTAGGTATTATATATACTGCATGTAGCCGCCCTCAGATAACGATTACAATTAACGCTAATCTATATAGCAGAAAAAAAACCTTTTGATGTTTTCTACGTTTGTATGTAGTCATTGTTTATGTTGTGCATTTTGAGTTATTGCTTAGGTAATTTTGTAAAGTCTCCTTACGTGTGGCAAACACTCACAATCACACACTACACCCACACACGCCCCGCAACCTACACACATCCATTGGCATGTAGGGTTTGACTTTAGAACAAGTTGAATCCCTGCAAAGACACCGAAACATACGAAAGCAAAACTAAAACTAGAATAGCAATATTATATGTTTAAGTTAATGAAATTATAAAGCATATAAATTGTATTTTAAATAAATTAAGTATAAATACTAGACACCGATATCTTGGATGTGAATAAAACATATGGCAGATGTACGAGATAAAAGTCGGATGTACGACATAATTTTCGCCTGTTTTTCTTCTAATAGCTATAATTTGTAGATAGATATTGAAAACAAAATTTTACTTGGGGTAGTTAGCTTTATTTTATATGTATAGAAAAAATTATAGTAGCAATCGTTTCTTTCTATGGCAGCTTTATGTATATATGACTTGTAAGCCACAATCATGTCTAGGTATTTTTAAAAGAAAACTTCATGGGTTTTTGTCATTATTTTTCTCGATAGGAAGCCGAAATATTTACTGCCTGCAGCAAAATAACGGATGTTTGCCAATTAGGATTAAGATAATAAAATCTATAATGGCAAGAATTAAGAATAGATAGTCTAAAAAGGTAAAAGTCAATTCTAATACCATTTAAAAATATTGATAAATTTCGTCAGATTATATGATTAACCCAAAATTAAAATTTTAATTTATTATCTGCTATTTTCATAAGATCTAGCCATCGTGCTGACTACAGTAAAAACCCATATCTTATAAGGTCTTAGAACTGGTGATCCTAAAAAGATTACAGTTGTACGATAATATTTACAGTTTGAAAGCCTTTAAACCAATCTCGAAAGATCTTTTCTAGCCGTGTCAGCTGTTATTGCAACGTGAAATTTGGCCGACTCTCACAAATTGGAAATAAAATGCAGACAAGTTCTTGACTCTGTTGCTTAATGTTTTGCATTTTATTGTTGCCGTATTATAAATATACAAAAACCTGAAAAGCAACAAAAATTTAAAAGAAAATTCTCATGTAAATGCACACAAAATAAAATATAAAAGGTTGAGACAATACAGTGAGTATGAAAAAACCAAACTTATTAAAATAGAAATAAAATGACAAATTTACATAGATTTCAGCAGCTGCAATCGGAGACACTTAAAACTAAATTGGACCAAGGACTACACGACTACATGACAAACAAAATACTTTGCTTTATGTGGATGCACATACTTAACTTAACTAAACTAATGCGAGTGGCACTACGAGCTAAGTATATATATAAATATATATATATGTCGATGTACTTATAATACTATGCTTATTACTAAAGCTACTAGACTATGCTCAAATACTATTGAAGCGACATGGTGTGCACTGGCGGCTGCATCTATCTGCGCTTGCGGCCCTTTTTATAGCCCTTGCCATACCAGCCGGCCTGGGTGCGGGCCAGTTTGCGTGGAAAACTGTGGCTCAGCTGCATTCGACGTTTGGCCGTCTCGGCGGCAGCTATGTGCGCCAGTGAGATGTTCTCATCGTAGTCATCGTCATCGTCGCTGGTCGGACAGCATTCGCAGACGACAAAGCGCCCGCTGCGCGCCCTTTTCTTATGCTTGCGCTGGCTAAGATGCCAACGACGATAGAACTGGCACTCGAGCTCGGCATAGCTATCAAAACAGAACTCGCAGCTGGCGGCGGAGCGATTCATGGCAAAGTTCGGCACCACTTGCAAGTTCCAGATGTTGAGATCAGATGGCGGCGGTATCAATATGCTGTGCAGGCCCGAATACGCATACTTGGCATCATACCAGCTGGGCAGCTGACGGAGCAGCTCGTGATCGCTGTGGCGTCGTAGCAAATCCATTTGTGCCATGGCAAACTGTTCTTCTTCCTCGACCACATCTCTGTCCTCATCATCGCCGTCGTCGTCGTTTTCTGTGGTGGATTCTGCAGAGCAGGTGGCGCTGTCGCTTTGCAGATTCAGCGACTGCAGTGATGGAGGCAGAACGAGCTGCGGCTGAATCTGGGGCTGTACAAAGGGCGTGTATAGCGGCGCACCAATTGGCACCAGCGGCGGCAGCTGCACTGGTGGCAAGCTGCCCAGACATTCCAAGCGCGGCTCTAGTCGCAACTCCACAGGCAACAGGCACAGACCCGGACAGCTATTTACATCCGCAAAGGATTTCTGTATGGTGACTAGTCTCGGCAGTTCCATGAGACCATTTTTGTGCTGGTGCCCATTTGTGGCTTCACTTGGCGGCTCCGACTTGAGCGTCAGCGGCTCCAGCTTGGGGACCACCTCCTGCTTGGGGACCACTTCCTGCTTGATGCATTTAATTTCCAGACTAGTTTCAATCAGATCATCATCAACTTTCGTTTCCTGCTTCAGCTCGCACATAGTCAACGTTTCCGTTTCAGTCTTCACTTTGTTGTCCGTTTCAGTTTTCAGCTGAAGTATACGCTCCGGCTTCTCTTCCTCAGCGCTATCATTTGGCATTGGCACATACTTTTGCCGCATCTCCAAATTGGTCTTGATGCGCCGTCCATTTTTGATAGGCGTACGTATGCGTGGACCACGGCCAATGGGCAAATCGCTGTAGCTATCGCCGGAAATGGTAGAGTCCTGCGTCTCCTCGGTTGTCGTCGTACAGGATTGTGTATCACCCGCCTCCTCCTCGTCGGCATTCTTTAGTAATGGCTGTGTTAGTGTATGCAGCTCCTCGGGCATTAGCAGCGTGGCATGCGCAAAAATTGGATCCTTCTCCTTGCTGTAGACGGGCACCGTTATGTTGAGCAGACGCATGAGCTGCGCCATGACGCTATCGCACTTGCCATTAATCTTGATGCTGGCTATATTATCCTTGGGCGTCCACTGTAGATTTACCACGCAAATCTTGGCGCGCTGCCGTTGCGGCTTGTCCATCTGCCAGAGCCAGGTGTATTTCTTAAGCACTTTCAGACTAGAGCCCAAACAGAGTATAACATCCGCTCGCTCCGCGTGCTGCGTGGCCCCATCCCAGTTCAGGGGCCACTTCACATTGCCTCGCTCACCGAAGTGCACGATGGTATCGTAGAGCGGCTCCGAGCACCTGTGGCATAGCCGATGCGTCTTATGGCAGTAGCGTGCCGTCATCTCGGTCACGTCGAACTGGCGCCAGTAGACTGCATTCGGTTTGCAGTGCTTGCACACCTCCACATACATGTTACCATGTATTTCGGAGAGTGAATGTCGCGGCAGGCCGGAGCGCAGGTGCAAGCCATCGCAGTTCTGCGAGACAACGTGCCGCAGCAGGCGGCGCCGATGCAGCTCGTAGAGCGCCATATGCGTATAGGTGGGATTGGCGCTGGACAGATCGTGCTCCCCAATATCCTTGCCCTTCTGAAGCAGGGTCCAGATGCCCTTGCTGCCACGATAATCGGGAATCAGAGCAGATGTGCTGATGCCGGCACCCGTATAACATATTAAATGCTTTGCTTGCGATATGATATTGGCCAGCTGCTCGACCTTAGCCTCGATAACGTGCGGCTCGTCCTCCTTCTCGACAACCCGCTCTTTGTATATCTCAATGCGCTCCTTGCGCTTCTTTGTCGTTTTCACAATATCCGGATGCTTTTCCAGAAATTGCCGATCCTCGGCGGTGCGCAGCGAGTCACATTTGCGTAAAATCAGCGAGACCTGCACCAGTTTTATTTATATTAGTGCCAATCAATAATGCATGCTCTTATAGTACGCACATCCATACTTATACATATGTACATACATATATACATATAAATATTCACATGCAAGTCACAAACGACGCACACACACACACACAGACAGACACCCGCACATGTTCGCTAATTACCTTTCGCATAGCATCCTTTCGTCGCCGTTTCTCATTATCTTTCTTAGCCGGATTCATTTTGGCTCGCGTCTTATATGACTGGACCGGATCGGACATTACTGGCTGCAGCTCGTCGGGCTCCATGTTTATACCTAAGCTATTAGATTTTGGACTCAATTCTACATACATGTGTATGAATGTGCGTCGCAAACGCACGTTAAAAAGGGAAAGGAATTAACGCGCAGCGCAGTTGCAGCGCTGTTTCGGATAGCAGCACATTAGTTTTATTTGATATCTAGTTAATCGGTTACATTTTATGGGTGGTAGTTATATCGACCTCTTGGCGCGGGTTGTATTTGTTATTTTTCCACAACTGTAATTAATGTTGTTCTTTTTTTTTTTTTTTTTTTGTAAACAACAATAGTGATGGGCGATGTTTGGTGTTTCTTTTACATGTCACTGGTACTCTATAGTAGCGAATCACGCAGTCACATTGCAAGTACCAAAAATTCAGTGCTTAAACTGTGATAAATACTAGCCACGCAATTTATATTTAATAAAAACTTATTTATACAATGACGAAATCACTTTAACTTGAATTAATGTTTTTAAATTATCAATTTCACAACATTGGGTTCACTGCGTTTTTTGAGAATTAGTGCTTGGTTCATCACTAAGAATAGCCTTGCCAGATCGCTAAAAATAAAAACGAGGCGAATTTAAATCGCGCAAAAGTATGTTACATTTTATATGTTACATTAAATAAATGCTAGTTATGAGCCATAATTTGCCTAATCCAATCTAAATAGTAATGTACACGCGTATAAATACTGGGAATATTAGGTGTACCACAGGATATGCCTGCCGATGTAATACCCATCACGTGGTACATACAAGGATATTCCTTGTGGTACACAAGAATTGGTCCACCTGAGTCGCCATTACAGGTGTCCATTGCCTTTGAAGAGCCCACGCACATTTGGCTAACCGGCTCGAATCCGTGTGGATAGTCCTCGCTTCGTTCAATTACTCTGCGACATATCTGGATACAGAGACGTATTATTTCCAATACAAGCGCATAGCAGTTAATTATACCTCATCTGCAATACGATCCAATTTTACTTTTATCAGTTTAGGCGATGACTTGCCCGCTAAGCTAGTGCTGCCCCAACCTACAGCTATGAAGGAGTCCAAGTTTTCGCCATTCTCGAAGGGCAGGCACGCAGGATGCTTGTATCGATCGAATTTAACAGGTTCTGCCAGTTTAATAATCCCAATATCATTGTATAGGTCCGAGCTCGTAAACTGTGGATGGCGAAAATAGTCAGCCACAGCGTAGTTCTTGGGCGACGCATCCTCTTGATCATTATCCAAATCCAGATCGCCCAAGCGAACCACATTTACCTCCCCCCTGAGTAAAGTAAATTCTATGTGAATAACGCACGCTGTGTCCACAACTACTTACTGTTCCGACTCAAGGCAATGGGCGGCGGTCAGCACGAATTTATTACTGATGAGTGTGCCGCCGCAAAACCAATCAATCGTGCCCAGCTGCTGATGGCGGCGTCCCAGGCGCGCCATATGGGGAAACTCCTTGGGATCGGCGGGCTGTCCGCCGACAATCAGTGGCGTATATGTGAGACAATTATCGATTGTCTCGTACATGATGGGCGCATTGGGAAACAGAAAGCTGTAGCCCACCTGCTCCTCAAAGACGGCCTTCTTCAAGCTGGTGCAGGCTGTCGATGCGAGAGGAGCTTGGACAAACGCATCATGATGATCGTATTAGCTACTTACAGCTGACAATTTGGTTGTTTTGCGCCAAGGTCTGAGGAAATGGCTGCAGACCCAGCACAAGAAGAAGCACATATATGCACATTTTGTTCAATTTTAATTTGTTTATCAAACACACAATTGGCACGTTGTCAACCGGTTTGCCGACAACAAACGCCTCGAACTTGGCAGCAGACTAAAACCGCGCTCTCTGGACAGGTTTACAGTTGCCTAACACCCGCACACACAAACACACACACTGCTGGAGCTGGCATAGCGCTGACCAGTGATCAGTAATCAGCTGCTTGGCATGTCTTCGTCAGATGCCTTTTATAGAAAACAATTGCTGGATCGATTTGTTGCGCATACGCCGTGTTGACCCACTGAAGGGTCAAATTTAATTATTCCCAGTATCGATTCAATTGAATTGTTAATTAAAATGTTGAAATCCCGGTTAAGCTATCTTGTTTCCACGAATCTCAAGAAATATTTTCAATTGTCTGCTTAATCCAATCCAAGTAGGTATGCACACGCGTATATAGACTCGGCATGTTGGGCGTGCCGCAGCCAAATCCTATTGAAGTGATACCCATGACATGATGCATGCACGGATACTCCTCATGATAGATCAACACCGGACCGCCAGAGTCACCGGTGCAGGTATCGTTGGTGTCAGTGGAGCCAATGCACATCTGTGTGCTCGCATTAAAACCATTGGGCAGGTTATTAATATCGTCAATCTCTGGACATTTCAAATGAAACCCTTCGAGCTTTGCCTTTCTCAATTTGCTGGAATCCGTGCCGGCAAATGTGGTCTGACCCCAGCCGGTGGCAATGAAGCTGTCATAGCGATTGCCATCATTGAAGGGCAGGCAGGCGGGATGCTTATATACGCTGAAACGCACTCCACGATCCAATTCAATGAGAGCTATATCATTATACATTATTGGGTACTTGTAGCTCGGATGCTCTGTCGTGTTGCGCACACCAAAGTCTTCGGGCTGTGCATCATCCTTGTCGCTGTCAAAGTCCAGCTCTCCCAGGCGCACTACATTGACCGGACCGCTGCAATAGGAGTTAGGTATAGCCAAGGAATTGATGAGTCCTCATCACCCACCTTGGCGAGTAGAGGCAGTGAGCTGCAGTGAGCACCAGGCGATTGCTTATCAAAGTGCCTCCACAGAACCAGCTAGTGTTATTGTCGCTGTTGCGATTACCCAAGCGCGCCATATGCGGGAATTCCTTTGGTTCCGCATTCTGGCCACCGGATATCAGTGGCGTGTAACTGTGGCACGTGTCGAAGGTCTTATTGATGATAGGCGCGTCATGCACTAAAAAACTGTAGCCATCCTCTAGATCAAAGACGCTCTTCTTGTACCGGGTGCAAGCTGTTAGAGAGACAGAGAGACAAGAGAGAGAGAGAGAGAGAGAGAGAGAGAGAGACATTAGCCAGAATATATATGTATGCTCCATGGCCGTGCTTACAGCTGACTATATCCGAATCTTGGGCAAATATCAAACGCTCGGTCAAGTTGAAAATCAGCAACGCCAGTCCAAACGCTTTCCATTGAAAAGCGCCTTTTAAATAGTTCTTGATTTGCATTTTTAACGCTCAGCCGCTAATTACACCCGACTCCAAACTGGGTGCACGCCCAACTGCATAGAGAACATGGAGAGATTCTTCTGATTTGAGCGTTTTGATTTCAGGAAATGTAAATATACCAAGCGCACTCTCGCTTGATGATAAGATGAGAATCTTGTTTCTAGCATCGCCTATATAATAATATTAATTATTTATAGTTGTTTATGCATACATACATATGTATATGTATATGGCCATGCGATCGGTTGTTTATATTCATTTATTTCCATATTTTTGATCGTACATGCCTACAGGCTGTGGGATTTCCCGCAGTAAAAGCGTATATATAGATTTATATGAATAGAATATGCAAAACAAGCTCTCGCGAAACAAATCGCCAATTTCTTGCTAAGCCAATGATTGCACAATAATTCTTGAAATAATGCCGTGCTGCATTGTTAGAGTTTATTGAATACAAATTCAGTTACTGTTTGCCATCTCCTGCTTGATCCAATCCAAGTAAAAGTGCACGCGCGTGTAGATACTGGGCACATTGCCTGTGTCGCAGCCAATGCCCACTGAAGTGACGCCCATGACATGGTACATGCACGGATACTCGTCATGATAGTTCAACACCGGACCGCCGGAGTCGCCGTTGCAGGTGTCCTTGTTCTCAGGGGAACCAATGCAGAGCATTGTGCTCACATTGTATCCATTGGGCAGCTCATTTAAATTAGTCGTTGCGAGGCATTCGGTGCCAAAGTTCTTAAGCTGCACTTTCAGCAGCTTTGTGGACTCTTTGCTGGCGGCAAACCTCTGGTGGCCCCACCCAATGGCAATGAAATTCTCGCTGTCTTGGCCATCATGGAAGGGCAGGCAAGCGGGATGCTTATAGACGCTAAAACTGACAGCACGATCTAGTTGCAACAGGGCGATATCATTATAGAGAATCGTATAATTGTAGCCCGGATGCTCGATTATCTTCTGCACTCCAAAGTCCTCGGGCTGTGCATCATCCTTATCGCTGGCAAAGTCCAATTCACCCAAGCGCACCACATTGATTGCACCCCTACAAAAAAAGAAAAGATTTAAAGAAAATTTGTGCCAATAAATCAGTTTTCATTACGCACCTGGTCGAGTAGAGACAATGGGCTGCGGTAAGCACCAAGCGCTTGCTTATCAAAGTGCCGCCGCAAAGCCAGTTGGTTTTATTGCTACTGTCGCGATTGCCCAAACGGGCCATGTGAGGGAATTCCTTGGGTTCGGCGGGTGTTCCGCCGACTATTAGCGGCCGAGAGCCATGACAGGAATCAATAGTCTCCCATTGAACAGGCGCATTTGCGAATAAGAAACTGAACGGTACGCGCTCTTCAAAGATGTCGCGCTTCAACTGCGTGCAAACTGCAGATATCAAGTGTTGCTTAGTTTATACAAAGATATCAGATGACAATATTTACACTGCTTTAGTGCTGGATCCGGAGCTTGGCCGAGTGCAAAAGACACCTGCACCACAATAGTAAGCAACACACAAGCAGCTTTAATCAGTGCCATTATAATATCAGCATCAGTTGTTTTGCGACACTTTGAACTTTATTTAAACAAGATTCGAGAGCGACTGATCAATACGAGTCGAAACAATTGATCAACTCGCTGAATGATACGCTGGCGAGCAAAAGTATTTACATAATTCTCTCGGGCGCTCTCGGAGCTGTCGTGTTACGAGTCATAATGCCTTTACCATGCATTGAGCCTAAGGTCCCAATCAGATCTTATGTGTGAGCTTATTAATGTATGCACACATACAAAGTTTATAAAAATTATTAAACAAGGTCTTAAGTTATGTTACGATTAACCATACTTAAAAGCACTTTCGCATCAGTTGAAATGTATGCCAGCCGAATTGAAAGCCAACAAGAGGCGCATAAACTCATCAATGTCCATAGATCTGGCCCGTGAGCCACTTACGCCCTGTTCCTCCAGTATGCTCATGACCTTCTCCTGCATGTTAAAGTTCTCCTCAACTTGCTAAAAATGAAAAGAAATAACAATTAAAATAGACCATAAATGATTATCTGAGCATGACTCACCTCATTCCTTAACGAACGATACAATTTGTAGTTCTTCTCCAGCATTTCAATCACAGAGTTCACTTTGAAGGTTGCCGCTAGCGTTTTGTTTTTGCGCAAAAATGCGATGCGGGTTAGGCCATCCCATTCGGTAAAATTAACGGGCGGTGGTGGATTCTTTGGCTCCAGACGCACCACACTCGACTCCACCTTGGGCGGCGGCTTGAAATTATTTTTTCCCACCTTCATTAACATGTCCACACGTGCCAACAACTGTGTATTGATGCTCAAACGGCAGTAGAGCTTGTCGCCCGGCTTGGCCACCAGACGTTGAGCAAATTCACGCTGGAACATCAGTACCGCGCAGCGAAACAGCGGACGATGAAGCAACAATTTGAAGATTAATGGCGAACTAATCTGGTAAGGTACGTTGGCTATGCACAGATCGAAGAATGGCAGATCTGCCTTCAAAAAATCTCCGATTAGCACCTGTAGTTTCGGCTGCAGAGGTGTCGCCTGTACACGCTTCTGCAGCTCCGCGGCAAGACGTGTGTCAATTTCGCAGGCAATAACCTTTTTCGCACGCTCCAGCATGCGCACAGTCATGTTGCCCGTGCCGGGACCGATTTCCAGCACCACATCTGTGGCTCGCAGTGCAGCTTTCTCCAGCATCGTAGTTATGACCAAGGGATTCTTTAATATGTGCTGTCCAAAATCCTTGTTGAAGACAATGCCTGTAAGCAATTGGTTATGCACTTGTTAGGGGAATTTGTAACATATATACACTTACCTTGCTTCTGCACCTCATTGTGTATGCGACTTTTCTTTTCTGTTTTTACTTTTGGCATGTTCAAAGTGTAAATAAACTGAATGTATTCAGTTAGTGCGGCTGCAACGTCGATTTGTTTTGCTTCGTCTGCTTTGCCTCTGATTTTTGGGTGCCATGTGCGCGGTTCAGAGTTGCATGCACTTCTGGCGTTGCCAGATCGCCAGTTGGCGCGCTTTTAAAGTACACGTTATTTTTAAAAACAAGAATTGAATTAAAAGCCGTTTAATACATTTGTATCTTTATTTATTAATTAGATCTCATTAAACCTTTACTTAACATTATAAATCAATTTTAGTAATTTAGTTTTCTTTGGTTATCATTCCTCACATCGTCTTACATTTTGTTACCATTTACTTAGTTGCTCACTGTCTTCCCTTAGTACATTTTTTTACAACATATCAACTGTTGGCTCTTTGACCTTTTTTTGTAGCTTATTAATTTTTTACTTTAAACATATTTATAAACCTTATTTATCCTTTTGTTTTTTGTCAATAAATTGTTGTCGGGCTTGGTTTTCTAAATACTTTTTCATTTTGTTTAATATTCTTTCAGTGAATAGTTTCTATTTTCAGATTTTGTTTGTCTTACATCAGTTAACGATTCAAGGTTCGCAATTTTGCTTTTTGTTATTTTATTAAATGATGTCTGTGTATAGAATCTAAATTGCAGAAGGTACATGGAAAGGTGTATCTGTAGGCGTGGCATATGACTGTGGCTATGCATATAGTAACTAAATCGATATTACAAAATGTTTCGAGCTTCAGCTTGTATATGTTAGGTCAAGCGAATCCAATTGTTTTAGTCACAATTTATTGGTTACTAAATTATATAGAAAGCTTTATTATGCTCGGCACAAAGCATTTAAAATATTAAAATCGGTTAAGCTGGCAATTTTGAGAAATAACGGCATGTCAATTGTGCTTGCTTCTTTTCAAGCTGAACTAGGCTTCAAATAAGTTGAACATGTTCACAGTCAACTCAGCCATTGCTTGGGCCTGCAGATCTACTAGTTCATATGCATAGGTCTGCTGTGGATGAGCAGTGGGTGCACTCAGTGGTTCTTCTTCTTTCAAATGCAATAGTTAGCCAGACAGAAGGTGTTACAATTTAGACTGTAGTTAAACTTTTTTCTACACTGGGCCATGTTGGCGATTTGTTGCAAAAATTGGTTTTAATGAGCTTACAGCTAACATCCCGTTTTCAACTTGTTCTGTTTGTTTTTTTTTGGTTTTTTTCTTTCGATTTTTATTAATATTTTTTATTCAGGTTACGCGTTACATTTGGTTTTGTTTTTTGTTTCTTTTTCACAATGCGCTTCAGCTGCTGCCCCTCCAGTTCGGTAACAACCAACAGTTTTGTTTCTTTTTTTTGTATTTTGTTTGCTTGTTCCTCGAGCGAGGCGGTTTCATGGGTATAAACTAATGTATGTATGGCTGGCTGGATCCGTATATAAATTTGTGATAATCTGTTGTTTTTACAACTGCAATGTCGAACTCTTTTGTTGCATCTATATAATTTTGTATATATGTTTAACATTTGTCCTGTCTTCATTTTGTTTTAGTAAAATGCTGTTTTGAGAATACTTGAGGTTAACATTTAAATGGGTAACTAGCGCTTGCGCTCTGCTTACTATTTCATATTATTATTACACATTTGGGTTTGTTATCATTACATACAAAGTTTTATCTTGTTTTTGTATATTTTTTGTTTTTAGTTAACAATGTTGCTTATAATTAGTATTCTTTGCTATATACTGCCATTTGTTGCATACAAATTTATCAAACTTAGTACTCGGCAAACAATTTGCGCTACTGTAAATGCAGCACAAGAATAGTGAGGTTCACTTTCAAAATACAATATTTTACTTGCTCTCAAATCAACAAAAATAAAAGCAAGGTTTACAAAAAACATTCAACATCGATTGATACACAAATGAAACTAACAAATTTCGATGCCATATTTATAACTGAGCCCATTGCGAAGTTCCGCTGCAGTTAAAATGGTTTCTATTTGTTGGCTTTTTTGTTGGTATATTTTTTTCATGTTTGCAAATTGTATTTGTGTTTCGAGTCTTTGGTTTTAAAATCAACACATATATATTTATTATTTAATATTGGTATTATGACATACATTATCTCTGTTCTTGATATATATTTATATAATATAATTTGTTCTGTTTTGTTGCCTGGTTTTTGTTTTACAGTTTTAACTGTATATTTCACATATACTAGATTAATTCTATGCACATATATACATGTATATATATGTATTTAATTATTTGTAGTAATGTATTGTTAATTATATATATGTATGTATATACATATATGTGCATATATACGTATATATACATATATATTCATACTTTACTCAAGTTTTATATTTTCTCCAACTTATAGGCTAAACACATTTTGTTTTGTATTTGTAGTTTGTGTTCCATAAAATATATATGACTTTAGAAATGTTTTGGTTTTACTTTAAAGTTTGTTCTCATTTTACGACTAAGCTTAGTTTCATTTAAATAGTTTTATTGTTTAATTTTCTGCATTTGTTTAGCTCGGTTTTTGTGTGTGTGAGTGTATGTTATAACGTGTTTGTTTAATTTTGGCTTAATTGTTTTTCCTTTTAATTTGTTCATGTTATAATATTATATTTATATGTATAACAATAAGTTAATTTTAAAATAATATCGCTTTAATACTTGAGAAGGAAATTGTGCAAGATTTCGAATACGCATAAAGTTCTTTAAATGTTTTTATCGTATTTTCTTGTGTATACAGACGGCTTGTTGTATTGGCTGTTGTGACATTCTCTTGAGATTCGCATAGGAGCAAGTGCCTCGCTAAGGATAGCGCTGTTGCGAGATATCTGCATTTGGGTGCGATTCCGGCACATTAATAAATAAAAAACTAATAACAAAAAGCATGGCGCTGCATTTGCAACATTGACTAGATCAGGGCATATTTTTGGCAATAGTTCTTTTCTTTTTGGTGGAGGGGAGGATACTATTTGATAAGCTGCAAAACTAGCACCTTGCTTTGAGAGGATTTGAGCATTAACACGAGCAACAGCAAAGGATTTGAAAAAGATGGACAGTGCGATAAATAACATAAAAAAATCTTTAAAATACTTTGCCTGCGTGTCTCTGTGTGCGTTGCGTGTGTGTGTGTGTGTGTGCGTTATGTGTGTATGAATACAATTTAGAGTTAGTTGTTTATTGGCACTGGTCGTAGTTGACGACTGTAGGATCCCCAACGCGTATGTGTAATAGTTACAGTAGATATTATCGTTTCTATCTATATATAACTTGCGATTCTCAGCTTTTCTTTTTGCATTTGCATTTGCAGTTTTAGTTCAGATTCCTTTATAGAGCTACGCTTTGTAATTTCCAACAGACAACTTAAAACAAATAAACAGATAACTTATAAAAAAGACGACAACTGGAAACAGACAACAATAAAGCGTTTATAAAGTGTTCAACGGAAGCAAATTTTAGGTTCATGTGCTAGGGAGATAAGCTAGGGCTAGGAATAGGCTAAGAGATTAGCATTGGGCTACATCTAATTAAAAACCTGGCAACGAATTGCCCTGTGCTTCTTCTTTCGAATGATCCAGTTTGCTGGTTTATTTCCCGCCAAAACTAAGCGCATATCCAATCCAATAATCCAACGGTCATCGCTTTAAAACACCTTGCGCTCTGGCCCGAACTTGGGATTGACAAATGAGAAGCCGGCGAACTCATCCTGATTGATGCAACGTATGACATCATTACCAATTGGTGTTAGCACCGGCTCCTCTTTGGTGAATTCGGCATCGAAATTGTTGGCATCACGTGGGTTTTTCTATAAATAAAAACAACGTGATGAATAAGATTTTCATTAATTTTTACCTAATATGTACCATTTTAGGTCGGAATGGTGGCTTTATGTTTCGCTTCTCCAGTTCCTTCCAGTCGAGTTTATTAAAGAATGCATGCTTGCGGATTTCATTCTCATCGCCTGTGCAGCCTAAACGCTGTTCTGGATTCTTGGTGAGAAAACCTAGAATTAGAATTGGTTATATATTAACAGATGTGATTATATGAGAGATCATAGTTAACCTTTTAATATGGACACGGCTTCGCGGGACAACCATACAGGGTAGAGCACATCATCATGCATAATGGAGTCAAAAAGCTCATCTTCATTATCAGCCTCAAACGGCGGCTGGCCAGCCATCATTTCGTACATGAGTACGCCCAACGCCCACCAGTCAACGGATGCGCCGTACTCCTGTTCCTTGAGAATTTCGGGGGCTATGTAGTCGGGTGTGCCACAGAAGGTCGTTGTCAGCATGCCGTTCATTATGCCCTCCTTACACATGCCAAAGTCAGCTAGCTTACAGTGCCCCTCCTGGTCAAGCAGAATGTTGTCCAGCTTCAGATCGCGATAGATAACGCCATGAGTGTGTAAAAATTGCAGGGCAAGCGTCACCTCGGCGGCATAGAAAGCGGCACGGGCGGCCTCAAAGCGACGCGCCTTCTGTATTTGAAACATCAGATCGCCACCATTTACATATTCCATGACGAAGAACAAACGGTCCGGAGTCTGAAAACACGAATGCAGCGCCGTAAGGAACGGATGATTGGCGGCTAGAGCCAGGATGCGTTTTTCGGTCATTGTGCAGTCAACATCGTCGTCCTGTATAATGGCATCCTTCTTCAACACCTTAATAGCATAGATCTCATCGGTGCCCTTCTTCTCGGCCAGCATCACCTTGCCAAAGGAGCCCTTGCCCAGCACCTTGATAAAGTTAAAGTCCAGCAGCGAGCACTTGCCTGGACGAGAATCTCCTCCGCCCACAGCTAAGCTCATGCAGCTGCTGCTGTTGTAGCCGCTAGTCAGCGTAGTCGTTGAGGTGGCCAAGCTGTCGGCCGACATGGTGCCACTGCGAAATGAGGCGCCTGGCATATTATCGCCCCCCTCGCAGCCCAGCGAAGCGCCATAATTGTCTTCGCCACCCGGTTGACTCAAGTATTTGGAGCGGCGCGGCTGCTGGCCCTGCTTGTCCGGTGAAATGCCCAGGGAGCTGAGTATCTCGGCCATTTGCTTGGTATTGATGCCGCACGTGTTGGCCACATTCTTTTGGCACCGCTTGTGGACGTTCATGTAACATGTCTCGCACTGTAGGCCCTGCTTAATGAGTCCATAGAGCAACGAACCGCAGTGATCGCAGAATGTGAAACGCTTGTAACTGTGCACCACAAACCGATGTGGCACATTCACATTGAACCGTTGCCCGGCCGGCACCACTTCCACTTTGGCTTGCTGCTAATGTAAATAAATGACATTAAACATTGAGTTTATTTTAATGTAGCCATTTCTGTACTTACCTCTTCGCGCATGCCAGGGCATTTGGAGACCACAGACAGATGGCATTTTTTATGTACAACTAAGGTGCAAACTATAAATGATTAGACCAAAATATAATCTCATTAATCTGACAGTTAATTAATGATTTTATTCATGAACTTGCAAGCTGCACGACTCATCATCCTCAGCATTTGAGGTGAAGTGCAGGATAATTCAAGTCATAGCAGTGCAGTACACTATGCAATATTTACAAATCTACTTTTAAAATAATTAATTTGATTTACACATTCAGAGGTTAGACACACTGAGTAAATTAGCATATTCGATTAACTTTGTCACAAAACAACAAACTATATGCGTGTAAGGGTATATGTATGTTGGTTTATATTTTGAGTCATATTTCAAATGCAAATTAGTTTCCTTAATTTAATGGACAGCAAAAGAACTGTTTATTCACATGTGTATAACTGTGCAGATGTTGCTTGTGGCGTGCAAATTGTCAAAATTAATAATAATATTTAATTGCCTCGGAGTGCTTAAGCATCAGTAAACAATAAAAACTTCCGGAACAGACACTTCCACAAAGCCTATCAGAATTTTGTTGTTTTCAAATATGTAATGAAATAAACTAAATTCGGTAACATCTATTTAATATTTGGTTCATTTTATGTACAATGTACAAAAGAGCATTTGCATTGTAGAATTCTAATCAAAAATAAAAGTAATCCTTTGTAAAATATATTTAGAAACTCATCGGAGAATTAGAATCTTTATATATACATATACTATTATGCACATATATATTATTATTATTGGCATGTATGCAGAGGAGCAGGCGAGGAGCAGGCGAGGAGCACGCTGAACTTAAACGCACAAGCACAAAGTTGCGTAGGAAAATAATTTTAAAATACAATTCAGGCACAATTTTGCCATGAACTACTTGAGCTAATCCTTTAAAAGAGCAAAGTCGTCTGATTCTTTGGGTCAGTCTTATACATTGTTAAGTTAACTTCAATAAATAAATATAGGCAAAACATTTTCTAGTATATCCGTAGTTAACACACATATAAATTAATTTAAGAATTTTTCGAGACACTGACAAAGGTAAAACAAATTTATGCCACGATTCGACATGAACTTCAATTAGCATTACATATAATACAAAAATATTTGTAGACAAGTAAATGAGCTAATAGTAGACGCTTATGTTATCCTAACTTATACGTACTTATTTAAAGCTTAGGAAATTTCACTTTTGAGCAGAATCGTTCTGCCGCAAATAATACTAAGCTTTCAAGACAAATCTTAAGTTAACGTTTAGTATGTTTTGAAATCTGTCGATAAACCTTAACATATAGCGAATTGTTTGGTGGCAAGACAGTGTAAAACAGACTTAAAGATGTGTGTGCTTAAATTAAAACATAAATAAAAATGGTCAACGCATTACTTTTGATGCATGGACAATGCATAGAGAAGCGACAACAGCAACGACGGCGCAAATTGAAAATATGTCTTTCATTATTATAGTAGATATTGATATTGAGAAAATGCAGCTATTATTAATATGAACAAAGGCAAATGCTTTGATTCTTGGACCGAAACTGAACAACATCAACAAACAACAACGAACGAATGAAACGAGCAAATGCAAGTGATGGATAGCTTTTATTTTTTAAATTTTTTAATGCTCTTTGCAGAGACTTTTAGGTCTCTGGTAAGAAATTCCTTTTTAATTTTAAGCAAAACACATACCTTGACATTGATAGCCTTGTTTACCAATTCCCCTGCAAAAAGGCAAGAAATTCCGTGGCTATTGCATATATATTTCTTTTATAACTGAATGATGAGTGTTTTGTTGTGAAGGCATGAATGTATGCGAAAAACAAAAATAATAATAAGAAAATAAGCCCGCAGTTCGGAACCAAAAGATGAAAGTCAAGCATATGTATATAGCATGAGAGACCAGCCCAGTGAACGAATTGCAGCTGCATACGCCAAAAATAAACCCTCAAATAACCCCGGTTATGTGAAAATAGTTAATCAAGAGAAATATTAATAAAAATAAAAACTTATGGTTAAGAGAGCTAAAATACGTAGTGGAGCCCAAAGAGTTTTCTATTTATGATTACGTTAAATATAAATAATAAGTAGTTAGAAATAAAATAAAACAATAAAACATTAGAGTAATGGCAATGCTTTGATGTGTGTTTTGTAAATCATATAAAACCCCAAAAACTATTATTACATATAAATAAATATATACATACATATATATATATATATATATGTGTATATATATTAATCACTGTAATTACAACTCAAAAATGTTACTGTAGATGGACACCCTGGCTGTGAGTACGCTCAGAGCATTCATATATGTGAAATAAAATGCGATATTTCGTTAACTTACCAAATAAACTCGCGACAATGTGAACAGAAGGTCGGCTGGCGCAAAAACGTGGCCATAAACTTGTGCCCGTTAACCTGTGATAAGAAAATCAATTATTGATCAGTTCACGAGAGTGACTACTGTAGACAGCGTACCTGATGCACACGACGGCGCATAGCGCCACGGCGTCGATTGAACCCGGCGCGTTCTTTGAACTCCTTGTTAACGGCAACAGTCTGCTCCACTTCGGCATCCGCTTTAGCTTGATCTGTAAATTTGAGCAGGTTATAGTGCCCTCCAGAAATTGACAATAACTAACCATAATGCTCATGCCTACCATTGCGGTTCTTCAGCTCGATAATTACGTGGATTTTACCCTGTGGTTCTAGGTTAATCTGCAATAATGAGGATTATTATCAATACAAGACAGTATAATAGAGATTTTACCCGAGACAGTAAAATTTAATAACAGATAATTTACAAACGAATTAAAAGCGTTAAAAAGTCAACCGATTAGTTAACTGAGCCTTTTCGTATTTACAAAAAACTAATCATGAAAAAATAAATAATTAATAAAATTGACTTAATCTAAAAAACAAAACAAGTTTTGTTGCTCTGTACTTGACAAATATGACTATGTTAAATAAACCTACACATATTTGCCTATTTTAATAAAAGAGGGGATTCCAGTTGTTTCCCTTGCAGTGAGTATCATAATCTTGTCACCAAATACAACCCGATCCATCCATAATAATAATCTAAGCACTTTACACATATATACGAACAAAATCTTGTTTTTCAAGATAACTTCACCAAGCTTGGTATGTACGAGTTATATCATGTCCATATATACGAGCATAATTTGATCAACATCGGACGACTATATCGTATAGCTCAATAGGAAGAATCAATCGAAAACGGAGTGTGTGCGTATGGAAAGCGTGCCAAAGATACCTTTTCATATTTTTGAAAGCGAATCATGAAATATATCGCAGAAATCCTCAAGATATAAAATGAAGACTCTGTGTGGCTTAAATCAGCAGAATAATTCGTACATTACTTTAATTTTATAAGGGTATTTAAACTTCGAAAATCCAAGTAAACTGAACTAAATTACTTTGGGTTAAACCAAAAATTTGGCATTCTTTTGGATAAAATCCCAATTTTCTTGTTTAAATTTTGGAACAAGAAATGTATTATTGATGAAATATTTACTCACCCAAAGATCTGGCACTCCCGACTCGCTCTGCATCAGATCCTCGAATGGTATAATGCAATTGGCGACGAAGTCATCCGGAGGCAGGGCTGCATCATGAAAAACAGTCAAGTTGATGTTGCGCGCATTGGTCACGTCGTGAACGAACTGCTCGTTCCATACTGGATCGAATGTCTTTGGTCGTGTTGTCGAGCGATCTATTAGGTTATATGTATTGAATGAATCAATGAGTGTTATCAAATGGTTGCGATTCCAAAAAAAAAACTCACCAAAATGACTCTCGTCGACATCTATGGACACGTAGGGATCGATCAGCTGCTCATCGGCCAATTTGCCAAATGTTAAATTGTGGCGCTTTTGAAAATCTGTTGGACGCAGGCCGCTCGCCTCGCACACCTTGATCTGCAGTTTACCCGTAAACATGTCGCTGATGGCTTCAGCTGCGCTTGCAACTCCTTTGTGTTAATGTGTGTTGCTCCTGTTATTGTGTCGATCTATATGTTGGCAGGAATTGGCAGCGCCGCGTCAATGCGGCTGCGGTGGTAGCAAAACGTTGTCGCTCAGTGAGTGTTTGCCAATCGAAAGGTGGTTGAAGTTGTACTAAGCAAAAAAGTCAAGATAATAATAATTAGGATTAGTTGCCAATTATCTGCAGGCACTCCAATATTGGTAATCTAGCTCAATGGCACTCTGCAATTGGATTTATATGTATATAGTATGTGCTCAAGTGAATTTCAAGGTCGCTCTCGAATTGACATTGATGGAAAATGGGAGCATAACAACAGCAACAAGAACAAGAACAACGCGCAGATTCTTAAACGTTGCACTTCCGTTCAGCATTGAAATTTGAGTTAGTCAGCTTTGGAATTTACTCGCTCACCGAATTATGAAACGCACAAGAGATAATCACAAACATGTATTTATGTGCATGTGTATTAATAAGTGCTCGTGTATGCTCGTAGATACATGGACTAAGATAAAGCTTGACTAAAGTTGCCCTTAACAAAGTTGTTGTTGTCGCTTAGATTTGATTTGCTTTTACATATTCTCATACTGCACAATTATTTTTTTTTTCCTTTTTTTATTTTTATGTATTTACTACCTTCAACTCATAAACATACACACACACACACACACACACACACACACACAGAGAAACAGACAAGCACTCGGTCAGTGCATACATAGCAGCAGTAGCAGATATTTTTCACAAATAAAACAACAAAGAAAGAATAACAAGCAATCCTAATACCTCTGCACCAGCCCCACACCTCGACACCCACAATCAGCACAAGCAACCTCCACACACACACCCACAAGCAGTATTGTGATTGCTAGTCAGCCCATCGTACACACGAGCGCGCGCTCTCGCTCTCGCTCGCTCGCTCGCTTTCTCTCTCTCTCTCTTCCTCTTTCTCTCTATAGTTTATAGGAACACGAGAAATTCTCATGCAAACACACACACACACAGGCAGACGCTTATGTTCCAGCACTAGTAACACACACGAGCGAGTCTAAACAGCAATAGAAAAAATGCAAATTGCACAAGTAAATTTGACAAAACGACAATTGCGTTAGTGCGTTATTTTACAATTGCCGTTAAATCAACAAAAATACCACTTGAAAACTTATGGGTACTAGAGAGAGAGAGAGAGAGAGCGCGCAGCTTCGTTAAAGAGCAGAGCAACAGAAAACCAACAGAAAAAAAACCAAACAGACAGGCGCAGTACTTGAATGACCCAAATATGACAGTGCACACTGGTTGGAAAAGCGTATTTTCATTAACATATTTTAGCATTTCGCATATCTCCATGGCTTACGTTATTAAATGAGCAAAAGAGGAATATTCATCAACAATTAGTTGCTTCTTTTATGCCACATATTTCTGAATATTTGAAATTAGCAAACATTTTAAGGTATATTTATTATTATTTTTGGGATCAGTCTATTCTGTCGGGTTTATAAGGAAACAGCTGTGTAAAAAGAAGCATACATGTAATTGGAAGAGCGCGGTGGCGCGCAGACCAGACCTTCGGGGAATCGGTGGACATTACATTACAATACACCTCAATTACTTACCTTTTCTCGCAAGGGTACCGTGGCTGTGGCTGTGGCTGTGCGCCGTGCTGCTCTCTTCGCCTTGCTATGTGTGCGCTCTCGATTGTTGGTATATTAGAGAAAATGTTCAGCTACATACATATGTACATACATTTGTGCGAAAAAATTAAGGATGGCACATACACAAGCACAAGCGCGCACACACACATACGCAAACAGACACCCTGTGTCCAATTCCAATTCCAATTGGAAATTATTTCAAGGAATTTTCGCCTTTATGTTTTACAATGGCAATGTGTTTACACTATATTCTTAAACAAACACACTTTCCAGCATTTTTCGACAATAGAATTTCATTTCGAGCACGGTTAATTAAATCAAAAATAAAAATTATTTATCGTCTCTCGCTCGCCTTCGCCTTTGACGATTACATAGATCAGTGTGGCTGCAATTTCAATCACCAGAAATACCAATTTAAAAAATAAATACAGGATTTAGTCTCCGAAAAATACTAGCGAATTATGAAGTTAGAAAAAATTGATCTAAGAGGCATTATTTAGCACTAGCGTATAAAAACTAATAAATATTTTGAAAATAATTGAATGCAAATTATTTAGTATTTTATTGCCCATAAATTTGTTGTTAGCTGTCACACTGGCCACACAGCTGATTGCGAAGCTTGGGGCAACTCTATTTGATTTCTAGATATTTCCCATCATCATAGTAGTCCCATTGAGCTTGCTTAAATATATTTACGAATTACACATCTTATTTAATATCGACTGATAGTTCATACGCAGAATGTCTATGCGATTTGACTGGTATCAATCGGAGACCAAAGTGGTCATAACAGTCCTCCTCAAGGGCGCCATAGAGAAGAATTACGCCGTCAAGATTGAGGCACAAAAAGTACATATGACCGCAGATGGTCATGAGCTGCTGCTCCATCTGCTCCATCCAATTGTTGTGGAGCGCTCCTCACACAAAGCCTATGCAACAAAAGTTGAAATAACATTGGCCAAAGAGACGGGCGTGCGCTGGGAGAACCTCGAACAAAAAGCTGAACCCGTCCAAGTACTGTCCACTCGTCAGGCTAAGAACTGGGATCGTTTGGTCAGCGAAGAGGAAAAAATTGACGAAAAGGAGGCAAAGGGCGAGGCCGCCTTGAACCAGCTATTCAAAAAGATCTACAGCTCATCCTCCCCGGAAGTGCAGAAGGCCATGAACAAATCTTTCTCAGAATCTGGTGGGACTGTTCTAAGCACCAACTGGAACGAGGTGTGCAAGGAGAAGGTCACTGTCAAGCCGCCCGAAGGTACCGAATTCCGCGAATGGGAGAAATAAACGATATGCAAGCAACAGCAATTCATTACTATTAAGAAGCTTACATATAAATAAAACACATACAAGAAAATGAGATATTAATATTAATAGCAAAGATATGTTTCAAATAAATTTTAGCCTAACCTTACTAATACAGATGCGTTCATTAATGTGTATACGCGTGCGTGTATATGTGTAGAGGGGGTGGCTGTTCTCAGCAGGGAAATTTGTAACGCAAACAGCTGATCGACAGCCGGCGATGTGCAACGACGCATAACTATTTTATTTATTTTTATAAGAGCTAAAATTGCATTGAACTCGGACAAAATGTATAAAAATTTAGAAGAGCACAATCGACTAGTGAATAAATATCTTAAGATATTTTTTGTGGTTGCATTGTATTGGTAAGAATCAATTGATTGGGCTTATCAGGCCAGGTTGGATTGGATATTTAACACGTTGCCTTTTTGCGCCAGGTGCACCTCCATACTGACTGTGTTTGTGAACAAACATCTGCTGAGCAGCGAAACCGTCAATTTGGGAGCTCCGCTCTTCATGTCCTGGTATCAGTGCGTCATATCCACCGCCATTTGCTTTGTAATGAGTCGTCTCAGTCGCAAGTATCCAAGTGTCTTCAGCTTCCCGGAGGGAGATCCACTGGACATTGATACATTTCGCAAGCTGTTGCCTTTGACGGTGCTCTACACTCTAATGATTGGCGCCAATAATCTGTCGCTGGCGTATGTAACGGTTGCCTTCTATTACATTGGACGCTCCCTTACAACAGTGTTTAGTGTGGTGCTGACATATGTGATCCTGAGGCAAAGAACCAGCTTCAAGTGCTTATTGTGCTGTGCCACCATTGTTGTGGGCTTTTGGCTGGGCGTGGATCAGGAGAGCCTAACGACGGCCTTCTCCTGGCGCGGCACAATATTTGGTGTGCTGAGCTCCCTGGCGCTGGCCATGTACTCGATACAAACAAAAAAGTCGTTGGGTTATGTCAACCAGGAAATCTGGCTGCTTAGCTACTACAATAATCTGTACTCCACGCTTCTATTTTTGCCACTTATCATTCTAAATGGTGAGCTAGGCACAATCTGGGCATATCCGCATTTGTGGGCTGCCTGGTTTTGGGCGGCTATGACGCTCAGTGGATTTTGTGGTTTTGCCATTGGCTTTGTCACAGCTTTGGAGATAAAGGTAAGTGAGTCAATTGCTAGCGTTAGCAAAGGTATGTACTTATCAAACATCTGCTGATTACAGGTTACTTCACCGCTAACGCACAACATCTCGGGCACGGCTAAGGCGTGCGCTCAAACAGTTATTGCCACGCAGTATTATAACGATGTACGCTCCGCGATCTGGTGGACCTCCAATATAGTTGTATTGGTTGCAAGTGCCGCATACACGCGCGTCAAGCAATTGGAAATGTTGCAGCAGCACCAGCAGCGCAGCACCGCGACATTGAAAGCATAAGCAAATATTTCAAAGCAAAATATTATGTATTATTCGACTCAGCTACGTTGTGAACTGGATATGCAACAAGTGTACTGAATTTATAGCATATTCTTGCCATATATATTTCATATATGTGCATTATATAGTGCAATTCTTCAAAGTCTTCTAACCCTGTACATGTGTAAGTGTATGTATCTGTCATCAGATCAAGTGTACAGCGCTCAAATTTCTCTTATTGTCGCAGCACACAAATATCTTTTTTAACTTTTTATAAACCTATCAAAGACTTTATACATAAGCAAACCCAAAGACGGATAAAACGGCTCTTTACTGTGTAAAATAAAAACCTTCCTTTTAATTTGATAATGTTTAAACTATATATTCCGACCTTCAATGCACAAATGGATCCATTAGCACTAAAGCTACAGATTTTATAAGAAGACAACAATATTTTAAACTAATTAGCTGCGGCTGCCGCCGCTTGTTGCTCTGGTGCTTCCGCTTCCTTCTTGGCTTCCTTGCTTACTTTAGCAACGTTTTTGTCATACAACTCAGGTATATATACAAATGGATCGATTTTCAGCTGTTCGCTACTGGGCGCGCTCTTGAGGAGAACACGTGTGATAAAGCGTCCATCTCGCTTGGGACGCATTGTGTTCACATCCTGCAGCAAAAATCGTATATTCTCCTCCAGATGCTGTGCATCCATGTCCAAAGTGCCTACATTGGCTTTTATTAGGCCAAAGTTCTGCTGGTATTCGTCTTTAGTTGCACTGTAGCTAATGCCATTGGAGAATTTGGTAATCATTTCGGCAAGATTTGTGCCCAGTGTTTCGCTTTTTGGATTGGGGAACTTGCGCTTCATCAGGCCACGTAGTGCAACGAGCTCCGCCAGTATATTGGGATGAGCAATAATGAACTGATAGTCGGAAAGCAACAGCTCGCCGTTTGTTATGTCTTTGATCAGCTCCACGCCGCCCACAAGCGTGGCGCCCGCTTCCCGCGCCTTTGTAATTTCCTCCTGAAAATCCATGAGTTAGCAAGCATAACATTTGTTTTGTTCTTTAAAAACTTACATTTTCCTTAGTAAATACTATGATTTTCCGATCTTCGCCGTGATGAAACTTATGTGGTATCATGGCCATGCGCTGGAAATTGTCCACAAATCGTGTCGCCTTCTCACCTTGCATATTGAGCTCGATTTCTACGCTAAGGGAAGCATTTGGTACATTGTACATACTAGGATGATGCGTCTCGCGATGACATTGTATGGCCTCAGCCACAGTATACACCGGCCAGCGGTAATAGCGGCCCACGTAGACGTCATCTTTGGGCACCTGCTTCCAGGAGTCATCCACGTGTTTGTCAGCTCGTTTAACATTGATTCTACAAAATGGATGTTATAGCAATAGATTGTCTAGAATCTGCAGACTTGTCACTCACTTTTTGTCCCGCTGGTTATGGGGAATGAATCCCACTTTCTTTACCTCAACTTTAACCTTTTTCTTGCGTGCTTTCTCACGGGTTCCCTTGCGCGCCGCTTCCGTGACCGCAGTCAGGTGTAGGCAGCGCAGGGCCTCTCCCGTTGGCTGGCGTACGGCAAGGGCACGAATTGATGATAAAAGTGTTAACATTTCTGTTATTGTTTTATTTTAAATCTCTGGAGTTATTTATTTAGTTATAATTATATAATTTTAGCTTTTCCCCGGCTGTTCCATACAAAATCATAACACAAGAGTAGAGTGACCAGCGCACTATTGGATAACTATCGTGTCTATAAATTTCCGATGTTTTTTTTATATTCACAAAACTATCGATACAGAAGAGCAGAGTTAACAGCAAACTAAACCAATTTTTTCATCTTGATTAATTTATCCTAATTATTATTTTTGACTATACGGTGCTAAATCTTATCCTTTTGTGTTTTTTTGGTAGCACAATAAGAATCCAAACGACAATGAGTCGATTATTAGTTTAGTTATTCAGTTTTCTTATTGGGATATTCTAAATAGGGATTACACACGTCAGTAAATTAACTTATAATCAAAGTTTCACACCGTGCAGAGTTGCCAGGGTGAATGAAATATTTGGGAAATTTAGCAGAGACACGCCAGTTAAATGACAGTTATTAATTTCTGTAAGGATATTTTTAAAGAATACGTTAAAAATCAACTTTGGAAACTAATAGAACAAATATTATATATGGCTCTATTTTCATTTTCAATCTAGGAATGAATAAAAAGAGAACTTAACAAGGCGATCAAGAGCAACACTTTCAATGGCATACATATACAAAATAAAAATGTTCGATTTTCTCATAAGTACGCCAAGCGCTCGCCGTGTGCATTTGTGCTCAGAATAGATTCGACCAACGAACGGCATAATACGGATTTCGCGGCGTGAAAAATCGCGAAATATCTCATACAATACAGCGCAGAAAGGAGATTCTGCGGTGGGGCGGGTGATTGTATGCATAACAAAAGTGCAAGTAATAATTGGTTGTTTCATTATTATGCAAATCCTTACGAGTAAAATCTAGCAATTGCAAGAAAATACATATTCATAATGTGTTAATTTTGTGCATATTCTTCGTTGAAGTATAAAGTAAAATATGTGTATTCAATGTGGCAACAATTTCGATTTAACATTCTGAAAGTGGCGAAACGAACGCCTAGTGAAAGTAATGGGCCTTAAGATATACACATGATGTGCCCCACTCGCAGACATACACACACACACACGCACACACATATGCGGCCATACCCAATTCCGGACGGCTCTGCGTGCACCTAGGGGGCCCAATTTCCCCAAAAAATTTGGAAGTATTAATTGCGTGTAACCTAAAAATGAAATAATGGAAGTGTGCTTACTTTGGACACAGGAGATGGGGGCGTGTTTTACGGAGTAAACAGAAAGGGGGCAGGGGAAGGGAGGGAGGAGAGCAGCAGACCAAACAAAAGAGTGTCAGCAATTTATAAATAGTTTACGCCATTGTTTCTATTTATTGTGATATTGTGTGATTTTTCTCTAGGCTTGTCGATTGCTGGATTATTAAATCTTTGTATACCAATTTGTGCCACCAAGTGCATCATTCGCCAATTGTGGTGCTCCGTTTGGTTCCGTTTATTGACCACACACGCGTAAATATTTTCCGAATATTTCCAAAACTTTTGCACATGTGGCGAAACGTGCTAAAATTTCGTTTTTCAAATTTATTGTTTATTTCATGTATTTTAAGCATTACACTTTAAGGCATTTTAAATTACCCTATATGCGATATACGTACATATATACACACACAGACACATAACTTACAAGTCTGCCAATTGATGTGCGAGTGCGTGTGTGTGTGTGTGTGTGTGTGTGTGCATGGCGGACGTTCCACATTTGTCTTCCTCTTTTATAAACAAATTTTTGATTTCGATAATTCGTGGGATATTCTTGGCTTGCGTGTATTTCTAGTGGCGTATCTCGCCGAGTAAACAAACAGAAGCCAATTGAGCATTTCAATACGCGTATAGACACACACACATACACACACACATGCACAGATATATATACATACATATATATTTATGCAAATAGAAGTGGTCGTGCGCTGGACTCACAACTTGCAATGGATAAGGCGCCACCGCCAAAACCGCGTCGTACGCGACATAGAATCAGTGCTATGCACTATGAATCCCTACCGACGGCCCCGCCTGCCATGTGCGGACGTGCCGATGAGAACATTTTTCAATTTCCCGCTGTGGCGTCGCGTGCACGCAATCTCTCAGCCTCGCCCAAGTTGCGCGAGGAGAAGGATTTGCCGGTGTGCGAGCATGGAAAGCACAGCTGTTACTTCTGCCAGCCATACCGGGCAGATCGTGGCACTATTGAGCCGCTCAAGAATCGACTCAACACTGCCATTGAGGCCATGGATCAGCTCACTCGCACCTACGCTTTGCTTGAGGGCCTGTTGGAGCAAAAACTGGCCACCATCACGGACAACGAGGAGGATCCAACGACCGAGATTGAATTAGAAGCGGCAGCTACGCCAAAAGCTACGCCAGCTCCAGCGACAACAAGTCCCACTGGCGATAACGAATTCGAGCTGGAGCACTCGCTGACCTGGTTGGAATCACTGCTAGGCACTGAGGTGGTGCCACCCACAAAGCAGGGCAAGTTTAAGCGGTATGTATATATTGTATTTTGATTTGTAATCTGTAAACCCAAAAACTACGTCATAGAATACGCGAGCGCAGCAAATCCATGATGGAGGATGAGATACATATGTATTTGAAGGGCGAACGCCAGCTAAAGATGAGCTCGTCGCGTCCATATTTGTTGCGACGCCAGTCCACCTACAGCGACAACAAGTCGAAGGTGTCCAAGTGGACCAAGGTAAAAGCTGCCTTTAAATGGGAACGAGCCAATGTGCCGCCCACGAGTGGCCAGGAATCAAACTCATTGCTGCCACTGAATCTAGAAGTTGAAAGGTATTTGACATACATTTACTGATCCCTGGAGGTAATCCTGGAATTCTTTTATCTGTCATAGATATTTAAAGGTGCCCATTAGTACTGCTGGCGGCAGCAGCTCTGCGGACAGCATCATTAGCTCCTCGTCGGGCCACTTTATGAGCGAAACGGGCGGCACGCCCGGCACCATCAGCTCGGCCAGCTCCATGGATGAGCTGCACACGGATGCTGGCAGTCGCCAAGCTATGCGTAAATGCCATGCTCAAATTGCAACCTACTTTTTGTTGCAGCTACTCCTTTCATTTCAGGTCGCCACTCATCGAAGAGCGACACGAATGCCTCCAGCTATGAGGTGGAGCTGCGCAAATCCGCCACAGATGAGCGCTTAGATACGGCCAAACCAGCGCTGCCCAGCAAATCTTCTTCGAATAAATCCTTACGTCGCTCGAAAGCCTTCTCCGACTTTGAGGTGCTGCCAGAGGATCATGTGGCGGACATTAAGTCAACGAGCAGTAGACGCAACAAGCTGCCGCCCAGTCCACTAAATCTCAATCAGGTGTGCAGCGATCTGCCACAGCTGCACTCACCGCTCAAGAGTCCCAAGGATGGCAGTCAAGCCATGTCGCGTATGCGTCAGGTTAGCTCGCCGGGCAACTCCTCCGTGCCGAGCAGTCCATCCAGGCATTCGGATTTCTTTGGTGAATTCGGTGGGTGAGCTTTTTGTGGCTACTAATGACATGTTTGCGGTTTCCATTAACGTATCGGCTTTGCAGAGAGCGAGGAACTATCTAGTGGTGTTTCTTCCGAGCCCACAACGCCAAACTGTAAGACTTTCACACAGAAAGAAGATGAAGTATTTCAACATTATCAACTTCTACTACTCAAACTAGATACGGAGTTCAAGCTAAAGCAACTCGATTTCGAACGATCCAGCGCGAGTAATCGCAGTAAGCCCCACGACCGAGATCCAGGTAATCCCCCGGCCAGACCTAATCCCGATTCATTTCCAGGCGTCAAGCTGTGCAGCGGCGGTGGCAGTGGCAGCGGCAAACGCAGCAGCGAGGAGCATTCACCCACACAGCTATTGCACAGCGATCTTATGTCCACCGAGCAGCTAGAGCAGAATCTGACGCCACAGTTCAAGAAGAAGCTGCACAAGTGGCGCGCCAAGCAGCAAAACTCCAACTGTTATGCCAGCTCTGAGCCAGCGGCCAGTCCCACAGCCAAGAGTCTAAGTGGCGGCGATTTGAAGCCCAAAATCGATTGGAATCTTTGGAGCTCGGGAGCACTGAAGCTCGAAGGTCAGGGCTTGTGTGCGCTGCCAGACCAAAAGGATTTGCCCGAAAAGTTTCAAAAGAAGCTGGGTGAGTTGTGTCCAGTTGTGTGCATAGATCCTTACTTCTACACACCGTATTCACCAGAGCAATGGAATCGCTTGAAATGTGCGCCGGGTGGCGGCACCAACTCCGACAATGATTCCCTCAAGCGTAACTCTAAGCACAGCCAGTCCACGCGCCGCGGCTCTGATGATGATCGCTGGTACAAGCATAAGCCGCACGACAATGAAAAGTGTGTCCAGTGTGTCATTTGCCACCATCTGGATCGGTTGCTATTTATCTACCTTTCTTACTTACAGATTGGCGCGCCTTAAGGCCATTGTGGCACCGGATCATACGTCCAAGAATATCGAGGTTAAGACCTCGGATGGCGAGGTGATGAAATTCGAGGGCATCTCACGTAAATTCACACGCAAACTTTACGAATGGGAAAAGGCCAGAGGCATCGGACCAGAGGCTTCCACCTTTGCGCTGCTGCATCCTGGCTACTGTCCCATAGATGTGCGACGCATCAACAAGGAGTGCAATAAGCGTAAGTCCATGCTTCCGTTAGTCTATATGGGAAAAACTGTCTGATTAGCTGACTGAAGCAGAAAGTTGTAAGCTTGGAAGTTGAATTTGCCTCAAAAGATATTCCTGGTGCAAGACTGGAAATTTGGGCCTTACACTAAATCGAAAATCCAGCCCTATAGGATGTATTAGCTACACGCATTACTGTCGGAAATTGAATGGGAATATTAAGAGTTTGATTAAAAAATCTGGTATAATTGAATTGTATGTTATATATGTTTTATAGCCACCACCGAGCACTCGCCGACATTAAGCCGCTCATTGTCGCTGGATAGTGTGGCTCCGAGCGTCAATCAGGCACAGGTCATATCGCAGCAGGCCTCGTCGCTGTCCCTGAACGATGTCAACGACTTGAAGGAGATGGAGGACTGTAGAGATTCGGCCGAGCACGAGTTCAAGAAGTACGACGAACCCGAGGCAGTTATGGTCGAAGTAGAGGAGCACATACATGACACCGCCTCTCCGCTGGTGACTGCCCACACGCTGGTCGAGCAGCAAACGCCCATTTACAAATACGAGGAGGTGCAATGCAATGACTATGTGTAGGTTAACCAATTCAATATTGGTAAGTCCTCCAATCACGCTTTTCCTATTCATGCCAACAGCAACTCGCGACGCGTCCAGAGCTTTGAGTCGCACACAAACCTAGCCCCGCTGCTGGGCGCACTGAAACGTGCCGACGAGCTGTTTGCCCAGCTGAAACAGTCCACGCCAGACATTGTGGAGCAGGTGGCAATGCGGGACTGTCAAACTGCATTGCTTAGCATACGCAGCATTTATCCATACTACTCCAACAATTTGATGAAACCGAACGTGCTGAATGCCGTGTCCGATGTGCAGAGTGATTTGGGCCGTCTGGCTGAGCTGGTGGGTGCAACTGGCTGTGGCCTGAACCTGAACTATAATAATGCGCTCGATTATTCCAGAGTCTTAAGTCACCGTTGGACGAGGCATGTTGTCAGGAAACAATGGAGGAGCGCACTAATGAGTACATGGAGGAGCTGCAAGGCCTCCACGAATCGCTATTGTGCCTCAAGTTGAGCATACGTAAGCTCTACATGACCTATTGCTAAAAATCATGATTACTTCTTACCAATTCCAATGCAGAGGGCGGCACGAATCGTTTCCCTCGCGATATTGTGCCGGACATCAACATAACAGGCGAGGATGGACAGCAGCTGGAGAGCAGCTCCGCTTATGCCACCTGCGATGCTTCTAGTCGCGATCGTCTGTCGCTGGAGGAGCACAGCGCTGCCTCACCTTCACCCATGGAGCACGAGACAGAGACCAGTACCACAACGGGTACCCTGTGCCGAGCTAGTAGCTCCATCACTGCATCCAAGAAGAAGCTTCGTCTGCGCAAGATGGGTTCACGTCAGAACAGCAGAACGGAGAGCGACAGCAGTGATGCGGATACTCACAGTGTGCTGGAGACACCTCGTCGCATGCGCCGCAAGAACTTTCGGCTAAAACAGCGCTCCTTGGATGATGACTTTCGCTTGGGCTCCATGGTAGTCACTGGCCATACGCAGCCTCCAGAGGCGGATGATATCATTTGCAGCTCACTTAAGGTCAAGCCAGGCGAACGCATTGAGGAGTCACACAGCATAGCCAGCAGCATTGCGCAGTCGTTGGCCAAGCCGAGTGGGTTTGTGCCACCGCCACTGCCGGAGCTGCATACGCGCAGCTACAACACCAATGCCAATGTGTTTGTAAAGACCAAGCGCAAGCTGTTCACCACAGTGCTAGAGCCCACGGCAGCTGAAGGCGTAGCGCTCATCGAAAAGGAGCTGGAGAGTCCCACGCATAGCGTTGAGGAAGCACTGTCGCCCAACTCGAAGTTGGCGACAAAGTTGACAACTCCGCGACCGCTAAGTCTCTACAGATCCATCAGCTTGGAGCGCTTGTCGCCGTTGCGACCCAAAGATGAGCTGCGCAAATGCCAGAGCAGCGAGAATATGCATCGATCATCTATTATGGTGCGGCCGCCGCTCGCTAGCGATAGCATTCAGCGCTTGGCACGTTCCAAGCGCCAGCTGGCTACGTCTGCATTTCCTCAAGTGCCGCCGCGTAAGGCGCATCTTTACAAGAAGAACTCGCTGCACAAGTCGCAAAGCGCCACCGTCAGCAACAACATTGAGCACAAGATCGCCAAGACTAGCTCTGGCTCCACTGTGAGCAGAGCCTGCCCAGTGTCGGTGTCCATAGTGCTGCCCAACAAGCTGGACAATACACTGCCTCGCATACAGCGCAAACTCGAGGGCAAAGGCAAGGCCCTGCTGACGCCTACCAAACCAAAACATTTTGAGTTTCCGCCACCTGTTTTGGAACCACAACGTCCAGTAACGCCGTTGTCGGAGCGAGCCCTGCGCCTGCAACAGGCCAAGGCACAATTTCTGCAGAGTGCGCCCGTAACGCCCAGGCAGGAGCCGACGACGCCCATTGCCCTAAACGATGCGGCTCTGCTACACAAGAGCGTTAGCGTGGGCAGCATGCGGGGCAGTGCAGGCTGTTCCACAGAACAGTTACACCAACAACAGCTGCAGCAACAGGAAGTGACCACGGATCAGGAGAGCGTAAGCAACTCCAGTGCCTATGATAGTTTGCCTCGCTCTGTTAGCCGATCAGCTCGAATCTCCAGTAAGCTCGGCTTTGCCACATTGGCTTCCAAGTTGCGCCGCGGTGGCAAAAAGCCCAAGGACTCATCTGGCCCCATGCCGGGTGGCAGTGCTCTGTCCGCACTCTGCCGCCAAACGCTGATGGCCGATGTAATTGCTTTGCCGCAGGTCTTTGGAAGCGACCGACCCCCGCCCAGTCCCAGTGCTTCCACTTCTTCGCCCGCACGCAACGTGCACAAGTCACAAAGCTCACCGCAGGCGGCCCTGGCTGCGGGATCCATATCGAATTTGCATGGCAGCTACGAGGGCATCAATAAATCCCTCAGCGAGCAGTTTGTGCGCCAGCTAAAAGAGAGCGACGTCTAGTCAGCCATTAACGAGTACCTCTAAGTTTAGATCTAAGCATAGCAGTGGGTCTCCTTCCATTGGCTACTAAAGTACTTACCAAATATATCCTTAATCAAATACCTTAAGTTATTGTCTGAGTATCGAATGAATTCTTGGAAATGACTAACTAAAGAAAAGTTGACTAAAAAATCTTAAATGAATTAACCATAATTAGCTTCTTACGAACCGCATATGCCCAAAAATAGCTGACAAACTGATTCAGTTCAAATCAGTTCACGAACCCATGTTCCGTGCGGGATTATAATTCACATAAAGTATAAAACTGTAACAATAGCCAAGGCGATAATGCCATTTCCGTCAGTCGTGTTTATATAAAGCCGGTCTGCTAAGTAGCTATCGTTACGAAGCTTTACAGACAAAACATATTTCATATGAAAAATAAGAAAGTCAAAATAAATTTTTTGCATAAATAATTTTTTTCGATATCATTAAGGTTGCTTGATTATACTTGGAGTTTATTAGGTCCTTATTTTAGCAAAAGTGTATCAACTCTGGTCTGCTATGTTACATAGCTTTATAGAAACAATCGATCGGAAATTAAGTTTTTGTATAAAATCCTCTTACTTTATACGCCTACTTCGACCAGATTGTAAAAAGAGTGTAAGAACATACTAACTGCTTCCGCGGGAGTCGAAACAATGTTACATAGATTTTTTTTGTTACATTTATTTTCTTTTTGATATAAGCAATTGTGAGCTCTTCGAGCAATATCAAATGATCTATCGATGGTCTACGTAATCATCCTCAATATTGTCAGTATCATCGTCGTCCTCCTCGACGTCGTTCTCGTGAGGTATATCTACAGGGGGTTCGCCTGTGTTCCAATAGCGTTCGTCCTCCGGCTTGAGGAAATCATAGTCTGGCTTATTGGTGTCCTCAAAAGTAATGCAGACTGTCAGATTCTGTGCCGTTTCAACCATCTGTGGAATACTGTTCACAAAATCTGATCCGCAATGAACCGATTGCAATGCAGCGCTTGGCAATTGATTGCTGATCTTGTCATAGCCAGCGATGCCCACGGCGATGATATCGTGCACGCGACGCAGTGCACTCAGCACATTCAGCGTCCCGGAGAGAATCTTGCCCATTATAGTTTTCTTGGCGGCAATCTTTTTATAGATCTGCACAAGCCGCTGCACATTTTGTTTAATCTCCTTGACTGACGCCACTGTTTCGTTCTGGATTTGAAGGATTAAATCCATCGTGTAGGTGTAGCAATCAACGCCGCCATTGATGGCGTGTATTGCCTCCGTAAACTGTGGTACATGCGAGTAGCTGCAGTAGGCGGCTTGAGAGGCACGTCCCCACGAATGCCACATAACCTCCAGGCCCCCAATGGCAGCCATTACAATTTTCGGTTTGTTCAGCTTCAACAAATTGGCTTCCATGTCCATAGCGCGTGCCACCAGTTGGTTAATGCCCACCTGCGATTCGTCGATCACATCCTGTAGAATGTCCAACAGATCCTGCAACTCCTGCAGCTCCTGATCTGTCATATCACCACTGGGCTGCCCCAGCACTTGATCCAAAGTCGGCAGTGTTGTGTCATACTCAATGTTGGGCCTATACCTTAAGTAGCCATCAAATTGAGCTCGAAATTCTTCAAACACCTGCGCATAGCTACTCTCCAATGGCGCACCCGTAGGCTGGGCAAGCTGGGAACTCCCATCCCCACTCTGCATGCTCAGGATGTACAAGTAGTCATGTTGTGCTTGGAGCTCACGATAAAATGGACGCAAGGCTTCTACTTCTGCTGCGGACAAGCCCAAATCTTTTTGTTGCTGCTTCAGCAGATTACTCAGCTCCTGGTGCGCCCAGGTGCTGCCCAAAAGCATACAGCCAAGCAGCGGCAACAGCAGAGAAACTTTCACCATTTTGCTGCCTCAAATGAATTAATCCAACTGGCACGGAGTCCATTTCGTGTGCTTGGATTTTTTTCTTTTGGCCAGCGCGAATACCACAGGTATGGACTGTAAACCTTATCGGCGACCACACTTGGATTTTCTTAAATAGTTTGATAAGATGAGGCTAATCTTGTATATTCCTATCACAAGCCAATATACAACAACAGTCACTTTATTCAACTTTAATCTTAAAGTAGTAGTAATAATAAGCTCATCAGTATACACACATATAACATGAGGGTATACATAATCCAATGGGTTATTCGTAATATGACTTAATCGACTGTTTAATGTGCACTAACTGCAGCAGCTATGCATGTTTACTACAGACGCCTTCTAGTTAGATTTCATAGGACCTTACATCAATATAGATATAGATATAGATATAAATATAGATATAGATATAGATATAGATATAGATATAGATATAGATATAGATATAGATATAGATATAGATATAGATATAGATATAGATATAGATATAGATATAGATATAGATATAGATATAGATATAGATAGATAGATATAGATATAGATATAGATATAGATATAGATATAGATATAGATATAGATATAGATATAGATATAGATATAGTATAGATATAGATATAGATATAGATATAGATATATAGATATAGATATAGATATAGATATAGATATAGATATAGATATAGATATAGATATAGATATAGATATATATATAGATATAGATATAGATATAGATATAGATATAGATATAGATATAGATATAGATATAGATATAGATATAGATATAGATATAGATATAGATATAGATATAGATATAGATATAGATATAGATATAGATATAGATATAGATATAGATATAGATATAGATATAGATATAGATATAGATATAGATATAGATATAGATATAGATATAGATATAGATATAGATATAGATATAGATATAGATATAGATATAGATATATATATATATATATAGATATATATATAGATATATATATAGATATAGATATAGATATAGATATAGATATAGATATAGATATAGATATAGATATAGATATAGATATAGATATAGATATAGATATAGATATAGATATAGATATAGATAGATATAGATATAGATATAGATATAGATATAGATATAGATATAGATATAGATATAGATATAGATATAGATATAGATATAGATATAGATATAGATATAGATATAGATATAGATATAGATATAGATATAGATATAGATATAGATATAGATATAGATATAGATATAGATATAGATATAGATATAGATATAGATATAGATATAGATATAGATATAGATATAGATATAGATATAGATATAGATAGATATAGATATAGATATAGATATAGATATAGATATAGATATAGATATAGATATAGATATAGATATAGATATAGATATAGATATAGATATAGATATAGATATAGATATAGATATAGATATAGATATAGATATAGATATATTTATAGATCTTTTTATGGAAATGTAAACAGCTTTGTTAATTTCAGGTTTCATATTGAATTTTGGAAAATGTAGAAACGGTTCATCAACAACTGAACTTTTGATTGATAACCTTGACTGTTAATGCAGTTTCACTTAAAATTTGTTATCTGTGTTGTTCATTATTGTTAGTGGTCACTGACGGCAGCAAGAACGGTGGGAAATATAAGAACTCATTCTTGGTATCGTTTCTGAGTCATGCGAAGATACTTTTTTGATTATTACCCTTATAAGGTTGTATTGGCACTTTCGAGCATTTGGACAGAAAATCAAAGACGATGAAAATTCCAGATGAAACACACTTGGATTTATAACTTTTGATTTTGGATGCATGGAAACTTGAACATTTGTTGAATATGTTGTTGCTAAAATTTTGAGGTATACTTATTTTTTAAGGATAAGGCAATAAATAGGGACTTCAGTTTCTACGGAAAACATTTAACTATAACACTTGCGTAAGATTCTGCACGGATTCTCTTTGCTTAGTTGACTGAATGCCCGATACATTGTTGGGAATGTATTTCAAAATCTTAACATTTAAGTAACAAAATAAAATCGTTTATTCATAAAAAAAAAATTTAAAAAAAGTTGAAGTGTGCAAAGCTATCGGTGTACCCAATCTGTACGTCTTATCTTTCCATTTGTTTCAATTTCTAATCATGTGAATTGAGAAGCTGTGTAGGGCTTTTGTGTTATGTTTATCGTGACTGACTGCATAGCAATATATATGTGTAGTCGCCAATGTTCCCACCAGCAGTTGGAACTGAAGCATCATGGGCAGAACAATAAGAATATTAAGCCTGCTTTTGCTGGCATTAACTGTTAGTATATATTTAAAAAAGGCTTGCATACAGTTTCCTAACCCTCTCCCTTAAAGCGTGGACATGCTGAAGACACCAGTACCACTGAGACCCATACGGAAACGAAGACCACGGAATATGGACCCATCAGTATGGTGGTTGACCAGCTTGCGGACATGGCAGTGGACGTCAGTGACAAGACCTCCTCACAACTGCAGGCGAATATAGAGCGCACATTGATGGACATTACGGACAATATTGATGCAATGACCACCAATGCCATGGCAGAGATGAGCATTGCCATCGATGACACGAATCAGCTGTTGATGGCCAATCCCAACTGCAATGCCGCCTGGAATATGCAGGAGTTTACAATCAATGTGACAGATCAGCTCAGAGCCTGCACAATGCGGCTGAGCGGCATGATGGGAGCCTATCGCGACGATGGCCAACAGGTGCTGTCCAATGTGCACAGCTTTGTACAGCAAATGGCTCAGCTGCCAATACTCTGTCAGAACCAGGCAATGGGCGCGGCAATAGCGCCCTTGGGTCTTAGCTTTGATAACAGCAACAGTTGCTTTTTGCGTGGTATGACTGTCATCAATCAAGGACTAGCTGAGGCCATGCACAATGCTTCCCTGCTGCTGGTGCGCACGCGCCGCCTGTCCCAGGAGCAAGTGGCTCGGTCGCAGCAATGCAGCGATGCGGTTGTTGCCCAGGTCATTGAGTACCTGCGCGTTCAACGCGCCAATTGTAGTTAAGCAGGACTCAAATTATGCATAAGAGATCACTTTTGGTTGTAACATACCCAAATAAAAACGACAATTTATGCACCCAAAGGATACGCACGAACAGGATGCATTGCGCTCATTGCTTATGCATGCGCATAAGTCAGCGGAAGAGGAATTGTAATCGAGCAGCATTGACATTTATTTGACAAGTTTTTGATTGATTTTACAGCTGCTCATTCTGCATAAAATTTACCTATTTATTGGCCTAATCGCAAGTTCACTTTTCAAATTCGCTCGCATATAATTTGTATATGTAAATGCCGCCTCTCTCTCTCTCTCTCCTTCTTGCCAATTGGTTAATGGGCTTTGCCAACGACACGTGGCAAACACACGAACCAAAGAGCAGCCACAACAATAAAAGAGGCAACAGCTGGCCAGGGAAAGAGACAGCATTAGGTGGTGGACATACGACTCATGTCTACGCTCCTACATTTCCGCAGTTAACCAAATTATTTTGACCTGCGCCCATACACTGTGCACAATTTGAGTACGCGTATCTTTCCGATTTTGTGTTACGGCAAAACTGTTTCTCTTAAATTTGGCTCAGTGTATCGGAAACCACGATGAACAACAAATTCCTACGACTTTACTGTGTTTTTTTTTTCTGGCTCAATGGCGCAATTTTACCCAGAGAGCGTCTGAATTTTATCTTATTTTTTTTACTGCTTGTAACAGTTGTTGATGACGATCGAGTTGTTTCTTTTGCTGCTGCTGTTGTTGTTGTTGTTGGTTTAGTTGTAGTTGCCCAAACGCTTTGATACCTATACGAAGTCTACTCCAACATCTGTTGAGCATTTTCCAGACAACTGACAGAACTCGGTGACGGACTGATCGCGCGCTTTTCCCTAGTTTAAATTGTTTGGTTAGCTAAGAAAAAGTGAGGCTGCGGACTGGAGATAAGGATATATTATATATGAGCCTTATAAATATTTTGTCAATAAGCTAATCATATCATAAAGATAAGATAAATATTCGCATTGGGGGCTATTCTCTGATGATCTTACCCTTACCCTTGTACCCCAGGGCGTAGGTAAATTTGAATACAAGTCGTTAGAGCTTACACTTAAAATTATAAAGATATCCTAAAGTTATAAACTAAGTTCTTGCACAGCATAGACAACTTATCTACATATGTTTTTCACTTGATCGTATATGGGATACAAAGCAATTAAACTTGATAATATTAGGAGTTGAGTTAGCTTGGACACTTTGTGAAATTGCAAACTAGGAGTAATTTTCCTGCCTTACACCTTACACCTTTCTGCCTTACCATACGAATAGTTATAATTATTAACCTCCGATCTTTCGCACGGCAGGTTAATTATTCACTGTTTAAGTGGATACCATGGTAAAGTTAAATTCGCTGGGATGCTCGTTCATAAAGTTACACACAGCAACACTTTAACGATCCGCCTTTCGCTGGAATCGCAGCAACATTTAGTTTGCAATCTTGTAAAACTTTCTACATTCTGTTTTTTGTTTCTTGAACAACAATGTATTTATTAATATGATTTTAATCACTTTTACCTTGGCCGACGTTTGGTCCATGCTAATTCTTGACTCTACGAGTCCTTTGGTGTACTAATCACGTCTCCCGTATAATGTCTTTGCTTGACTTGATTGGACTCAATTTGGGGCATTAATTTTGATTGATGCCGAGCCTTATGATGTCCGCAGGACATCTAGAATTGTCTACTAACTAGAAAGGCTATTCAACCGCGTTTACATAGTATTTGAGGGTTTTGGAACCAACTGGCGCACATTCGATTCGACCTGAGCCCGAACACAATAAGAAAATTATCATTATTATTATTATTATTTGCTGAGAACGAGCCGCGTGGCGTGCGAGTGAAAGCCTGCCAAAAAGGACTAGCCCTGACGACTGGCAGCCAAAGCGAGATAGAACCAACACTCAAGCCAAAGTGCAACATATGCTGCCTAAGGATCGCTCAGAACAAACGGTCGGCGCATGCCGTCATCTGGTGCTACTTTGACTTGAAAATTGGGTAGCATTTGCCGTTGCCTGTGCCGGTGCTGGTGCCGGTGCCGGTGCCTACGCTTCTCCTTCGTGGGTTATTTTTTTCTTTTTATATTTTTGTTGTAGCTGTTTCTCTTACGGTTCGGCATTTTGCTGCTCCCGACAACTACTATACAATTTCAAGGAAGCAAGAAATGCTCCCGCTTCCCCTTCAACAGTTACTGTTGACTTCCGATAAGCACGAGTGAGGAAGAGCGACCGAGAAAAAGGCAACAGCAGGATAAACCGCTTAAAGGACATGGGCAGCAGTGCGCCAAGACAAATTGGAAAGGGTTGCTGTGTGATGGACTGCAAGACTGGAGAAGGTGTGATGCCGGCAAGGATACACAGATGCAGCTCAGTTAACCACTTTCGGGGCCTGGACTCAGCTTACAAATCCAAATTGAGACTCAGACTCGCGCGCATGCCCCTACCTCCATGCCTGGCTATGAACACGTGTGCCCAACCAACGTCAGCTGGTCGGGTCAGGAGTAGGGATAACGGCATAAGGCAGTCCATAATAGTTACAAAAAAATCATAGAAAAATGGCGGTTGGATACCCCATAATAACAAATATGAACAAACTTACTCAGGGGAACATAAGCTTTAACACTATGCTACATGTCTAAACGTTAGGTTAATTCATATTGGAAAAATATAAATATCATACTGATACCGGCTAATTAGAAAATTAGAATCTGGCAAGATCAGACACAATCTTGCTATATGCTCTTTAACATATTTTTTCCTTTTTAAAAAAACTGTTTGTGGATCCTCTATTAAGTGCAAAATGATTAATAAAAAGCACAGATTCCTCAGTCTTAGTCATCAAAATTGGCGGGTAGAGCAGTGTGCAAATTCAGCCATTTTATAGCTAATTTTAGCGATTTTCAGAGTTTGGTATCTGAAAACAGTTAAACCTTTAAATAGATAAAGCCTTTTCTTTTCAAATATTTTGCCCAGTTTTTGTTTAGAAAGCTAATACTATTATTTACAGCTATTTTAGCACTCGATTTAGATTTATGAATTCAGGCTTATTTGCTAAAAATTACTGATTGCAGGTTACAGCATTGTTACAGTCTTAAAGTTAATAAAGTTTAAAAGTAATAATCATGTTAACTCTGTTAGAGCCAAGACAATATAAACACTAAGATAAGTAACGCACATACAGTTGAACGCGATACATAACTATTAACCTGGCTTTTCACCTGGTTTTTCGCACTTCAAGCGACGCGCCACCCGACTGGCTTTTTGTTCTCCAAAGCCGTGAAGTAAAACAACCAATCCAAACTAAGACTGTAATAGGCTAAGACTATCAACTTGCTAATTAGTTTGGAATAGATGACTTCATACGTTGGAGAGAAGTCTCCATGCAGAATACCCTGTAATGCTTGTTGTAGACATCACAGAGGACCTGAAATGGTTAATGTAAGGTGTATATTTACATGTAAGTTTAGAAGGAACAGAGCAGTTTTATTGGTTTATTTGCTAGATTGTAAAGGAGAATTTACTAGGAAAATTATTTGATCACATAAAGCATCTTCTGCCACAACAATCTTTATACAATAGCCCACATAAATTGATTTTACTATTACCTTTGCAAACTGTTTGCTGGAGAGAAGTTCTTGTCTAAGCCAATGGCGTGCGAGCACCTCTGTAAATAATGCATGCATGAGTGCGTGAGGGTTTATAATGTCTTTGGTTAGAGTGTATTGCATAGTCGGTGCCACCCGACTGCAACGTTCTTACTTGTTTTACTGAACATTTGCAAGTCTGTAAAAGCAATAATTCAAACTGTTTACCTTCAGGATATGCAACATGCTGAAATGAATATAATTAATTGTATCGATTAATAAATTACCGATACCAAGGGCGTAGAGAATTCGAGACTATTTACAAAAAGATAGCTCTAAACAAAGTCGAGAAAAAGAAACATAATGCCAGCCAGAAACAATAACAAAAAGTTAATTTACATGAAAATGTTGAGATATAGAAATAAATAATGAACTTTGCCTGAAGAGACAAATGTAAAATTTTACAGAGCGCGCAATTCAATTAGAAAATCGCCGCGGATTACAAAAAAATTAAGCAATAAAATTTGATTTGGTTCACGCAAATTCAATGGGACTGTCCAGCATCAAACGGTGCACAAGGACTCGCCGCAGATCGAAAGGGAAACTAAAATAGAGTAATAGCAATGAATCAGGAGTTGTGTTGGGCAATAAAATGCCTATCCTAAGGTCATGCAGTTTTCGTTTTCATTTCCAAATTCGTGTCATAATGTGTTGTAAGTAGTTGCCTTTGTGTCCTGCGCACGCACAAAGGACTCACCGGGGCGGGAAATTGTGAGCGCTATTGTTCGGCTGAAGGACCTGTGGCTGGCCTCTGGGCACGGTGGGAACACCCGCACGGTTCTCAGCATCGGTATTTGGCTGCTGTGGCAGTTGCGACCACAAGTTGACTTTCTGACCACCAACATAAAATGTTGACAGCCGGAACACGCCTCTTAAATATTGTGCGAAGCGATCCGAATCCTGTGCGGTCCTCAGTGCCCAGTTCTTGATCCTCAAGGAGTTCACTCCGATCAATGCACAAATCAATTGATTGCCTGATTTTGACAGTTATGAGCTGCTCTTTGTACGTAATCATCTCGCCATGTCCATATCTTGATTTTCCCTGAAACCGCTTTAGACTCAAAAGCCGGAGTCGGAGTCTCTTGTGTGCGCCGTAGTTGCCAACGAATTTATTGTTATTGACATTTTAGTTGGGTGGAATCACACGGATTATATCTGCTAATTGCATGTACATCAGACATCCTTTGGCGGCGCCCTTGACCAGACTGTCTTATAATAAATAAGCAAAGTTCAGGTTAAAGATCGGAATATAAGACGTAACGGACTGAGACAAGGGTATTATCTTTGCGAAAGTGAACTCGATAAAAAAGTGAACTGACTCATTAGTATTACCGTTAAAAGCACTCACTTTTATGGTTTATAGATCTTTTAAATTCTTTGTTTAGTTTTTTACAAATACTTGA